AAGTGCTGCGGCTCTGGATTCCCGCAGATGCTCACGCTGGCCTCTGCGCGGGCGAGCGGGACTGCCCAGAGAGAAGCATCAGAGGTGGCCTGCGGGACTTAGGCCGGGGTGAAACTCAGGTCTGCTTGAGGAAACTTCCAGGAGCCTCAATCTCGTGTCCAGCTGGCAGCCGGGGCCGGAACTAACGCCTGGGCGCCGCCCACCGCACCGGTCCCCCAGGCGAGCTCCTGGCCACAGACGCCGACTCACCTCGTAGAAGGATGGCAGCACGGATGCCGGGGAGTTCCTGAGCGAGTAGAGGCGGTGCGCGCCCCACAGGGCCATGCCCACGAAGAACACAGCGCCTCTCAGCAGCGGGGCGTCCTCCATGTAGGCCCTGCGGCAGCCCAGAGGCAAGGGGCGCCACTCAGACATGGCCTTGCCCTGGGCACAATGGTGCGCAGCAAGGGCAGGAGCTGAGGGCTGGGTGCCCGCCTGCCAGGCAAAGCCTCCCCAGAGCCAGGGAACCCAAAGCGGCACAAGGGGCACCACCCGCCTCCGCGAGGCAGGCGACCAGATCTGTGCGGGGCAGCACGGGGCCACCCGGGGCGCCCCAGCCCAGCCAGGAGGGGCCGGCGCCCACTTGCCTGTCCTCCATGATGTGGCACATGTTGCAGATGGCGCTGTGGCCCAGGTGGGTGCCCAGGAGGTTCCGCATCAGCTGGCAGACGGGGCAGCGGCATCAGATGGGCACACCGCACCCGCTGTCCACCCACCCTCCCGCCTGGCCGCCCAGCCGCCAGGGCAGCACCTTCCAGCAGGGCTCACACAGCTCCTTCACATTGATGGTCCGGCAAAGGGTAACGAGGAAGAGTGGGAGGCTTTCAGCCGGCAGGCAGTTGTAGCAGACCACGGCGTCCAACACCTGCAGGGACACCTGCGGAGCCCAAGAGGGTCACCTCGAGGCGTGCCAGTGAGAGTGGACACCCCAGCCTCCACCCCACAGGCGACCGGGACTGCAGGGCGGAGCAAGGCCTGCCCCCGTGTGGGAGAGAGGCCTAGGACGTACGGGAGGACCCGGCCCTGCAAACAGTCACTGACCTCGATGTCCACGGGGGACACAGTCTGGACGCAGAGCAGGCAGATCATGCTGTGGGGGAACAATGGCGTCAAGCTCCCACCTGGGCCCCCCACTGCGGGCACGGCACCCAGAGGCCCAACCCGCAGCACACAGAACTGGACACAGAAAGCCAAGCAGGCACCCGTGAGCCACGACGAACCACACCCCAACAGGCAGAGGCCAGCGTGTCCACCCTGCTTACTGAACCATAGATGCAATGTGCTCATCCAGGTAGCAGCTGTTGAACTTGACCAAGTTCACAAGCACCAGAAGGAACTCGGAGGACAGGCCGACGTCCATCCACTGCAGGACAAAGTCGGCTGTGGGGAGAGCAGACGGGGCCCAGGAGGTCAGCATGGCCCCGGGAGGCCCGGGTCCAGCCTGGGCTCATCTGAGGACGATCTCTGCCCATCGCCCCCACCCCCCGCCCCCGCTGCACGCGCTCCCAGCTGCAGGTCCGGGCCATGCTCGGACCAGCCGCCTCCCTCATCTTCTGCAGTGAAACTGCACTGCAAGAACAGGAGGGGCAAAGGCCACCAAAGGGGCAGTCAGGCCAGGTCCTAGAGGAGGAGAGCAGGTGACCAGGTGAGCCCCAGAACCCAACACCACCCCCGGAAAGGCAAACCTGGGCCAAGCCCCCAGGACAGAGCACCTGCCTGTGGTCACTCCCAGGACACCCAGGATAACCCAGATGCGTGCAGCTCACCAGTCATGCTATGAGTCAGACGAGCAAGGTTTGGGGTCAAGAGCCGCCAGGGACCCAACTCGGGTGCTCCTGCCTGCGGGCTGGGACCACTAACCCCAAGTCACTACCCAAACGCAGCTCTGAGATCAGGGGCCTGTCTGAGGGTGCAGGTGAGCAGAGACAGCTGGTCCAGCTGCCCCAGGGGCATCCTCGGCCCTCTAAGGCCTGCAGTCTATCCCCGCAGCCAGCACCCACCCAGCTCCTCTTCCAGGTAGGTGATGTGTCGCCCGTTGTCTGTAAGCGCCTTGAACACCTCCAGCCTCTCCGGGAGGTCTTCATTGGACGGGTAGTCCTTGATAACTCTGAAGAACAGTGCTCGGAGCACGCCCAGGCGGTCCCCCTGCAGACAGAACCACGGGTGGGCAGGGCCCAGGCCCGCGGACCCAGCAAGCCTAATAACATGGCAGGGTGAGGCAGCAGAGTGCTGGCGAGGGGAGCAACTGAGGCTCATGCTGGCAGGCAGCCCTGGGCCTCCATCCAGCATCCCCTGGGGGACCAGGGGGCTCTCTGAGCAGCGGGGCAGGACAGCCAGAGGAGCAGGTGGGGGGTGGGCCTGGGGCCAGCTGCGGTGCGGTCACCCTGCAGGAAGCCCCCAACATCCCAGGGCATGAGGAAGGCAAGGAGTCAGGGCTCAGCCCACGGCCTTACCTGCCCCTGCACCACGGCCTTGAGCAGAGTCAGCACCGCGTGCCGGGCCTCGGGTGGCCGCTCCGGCTGCAGCAGGTCAGCAACGGCCTTCCAGAGTGCCTCCACAGCATGCTGCCGGCAGAGGGGGCCTGAGCAGGGCCCGAGGGGGCCATGGGAAAGCGCCTGCTTTGTGTGCCACCAGCCGGGTTCCCTCCCTGGCACCACGTCAGGCTCCCCGGCCCTGCCAGGAGTGACCACCGAACACAACCGAGAGCAAGCCTGAGTGCTGCCGGGCGTGGTGCCCCTCCCCCGACACAGAACAGACTGACAGAGCCTTGGACTCAGAACTCGCCCCCGAGCCTAACGTCTGTGAAGTGGAGAGGGATGAGCTCCAAGTGCTCCAAGCCCGGCCTCAGCCCACAGCAGACCCCGTGCCCCCTGGTCCCTGCAGATCTCCCTGGGGCGGGCACCCAGAACCCACCCACAGGCCCCACTCTGGCACCACGCACCTCCGGTTCTGCTGCTTGGCCGCTGAGCTGTGTGCAGCACGGGGAACCTCCCACACCCATGGTGGAGCCAGGCCCCCTGCCCACGGCACCCCTCCCACATGCGACCAAACCCCTCGGACTGCCCGCACCGGGGCTCTGCACAGAACAGCGCAAGCAGGGACTAGAATGTTCTGAGACCTACACCAACGCTCAACTTGCCCCCCTCTCATCACACTGCAGCAGGCCACCGAGAGCAAGGACAAACCCAGCCGTGCCAGCCCCCCACACTGAATGGCCACCCTCCCACTGAGAGGCCCGTGTCTCTGGGCACCCTGGGCCTGGCCCCCACTGAACAGCCAGCAGGCAACCACTCACCAGAGCCCCCAGCCCCTGCAGCTCCCCGGCTGCTCCAGGGTGTTTCCAGAAACTTCCTTTCAAGTGGAGCACATCAGCTCATTGGCCCCCTCGGCCCCTCTCCCGCAGGAGAATACACCCACCTCCTCAAACTTCTTTGTCTTGGCAACTTCGCAGATCTGCCCTATCACCCGGATGCGGTTGTTGAGGCCACATTCAACGCTCAGCTCCTGGAGGCAGAGCAAAGACCGCCTTACCCTGAGCAGGGCCCCAGGCCAGGAGCGGGGGGCACGGGGGAGTGGCAGGCGGTCAGGAACAGTGCCAGGCCGCTCTGTCTTCAGCGACCATCTCAAGGCTACAGGACTCGCCCCATGAAACAGTGTACGGCTGTGAGCACCCCACCCCCGCTGTCCTGCTGCCCTGTGCAGGCTCCTGCGGCCACTCGCTGACCACTGGGTTCCCAAGTTTCCACGCTCGCTTATTCTCGTCACGGACCCAGCCGTGCCGCTATGTCCAGTCCCGGGTGCCAGTCCCAAACTCCAAATGCAAACTCTCGCACGGGGCCAACAGGTGTGAGACACGGGGCTGGGCACTCTGGGGCACCCCTCCCTGGCCTCTCCCTGCACCCGTCACCCCACGCACCCGCAGGATGTCCGCCGTGACCACGAACTCTGTCTGCTTGCCCTCAGCCGAGCGGGGGTGCTGGCGCGAGGGGCCCAGGCCCAGAAAGATTTTGAACTTCTCCTTCAGCCCCGAGTCTTTGCCCGCCGGCTTGGCCATGGGGGCAGGCAGCAGCGGGTCTGCTGCGAGAGAAACAGGCCCATCACCCCGGGGTCCCGACCCCAACACCCGACATCTCGACCCCCAACACTGTGACCCCCAAAACCCAACACCTCGACCCATGACCCCCAACCCCCAACCACCGACACTGCCACCCCCAAAACCCGACACCTCGATCCCGCGATCTCCGGCCCCCAACACCACAACCCCCAAAACCCAACACCTCAACCCCCAAAACCAGACACCTCGACCCCCGACCCCCAACACCATGACCCCCCCAAACCCGACACCTCGACCCCCACCCCCAACACCCTGACACCGCGACCCCCGACCCCGCGAGACGGCGACCCCCAACACCTGACCCCGCGGCCCCCGAACCGGAGCGCTCGGCGTGGGGGGCGCGGCCGGCCCCGTGCAGACGCCGCCCTCGTCGGGGCCACGCCGGCTCCGGGACCCCGAGCTCGGGCCACACCGCGAGCCGCGCCGGCGTCCGCGTCCGAGGCCCCGCGAGCCACTGACCCGCGCTGCGCCCGCCGCGCGCCCGCCGCCCCGGGAGAGACTAGCAGCCGCGGCCCCTCAGCCCCGCCGCGGGAGCGCGACCGGCACTTCCGGCGGTGGGCGGGGCCGGTCCGCGCGGGGCTTGCTGGGATTCGTAGTTCCTTGTTTAGGGTGGGGGCGATGCTCAGGGGTTACTCCGGGCTCTGCACTCAGGACTCATTCCGGGCGGGCGCGGGAACCACACGGGATGCCGAGGATCGAACCCGGCTCGGCCGCGGGCGGGCAAGAGCCCCCGCGCGGCTCCGGCACCTGAGAGTCATAGTTCTGGGCCGCACGCGTACGCGAGAGCCGCCCGGTCACGTGACGGGCCGCGGGGGCCGCCGGGATATGTAGTCCGTGCGGCATGCGAATCAGGGGTTTGAGAATGCTGACCCGCGGCCGGAGCCGGGAGTCCGGGGTCGCGCCGCCCTGGACGGCAGGGGCGGCTACAGGTAGCACCGCGGCCGCGAGAGGGGCGGCGGGGAGCCGGCGCCTGGGGGCCGGGCGCTCGGAGCTTGGCTCCGAGCCCCGCGCGCCGAGACCCACGTACGGCCCGGGGTTTCCGCCAGCTCCCTGCATGCCGAGCTAGGGTCTGGCGCCTGCCCTGCTCCCCGGCTCCGCCGTGCCGGACTGAGTGCGCGCGCTCCCCGCCGTCCCCAGGGTTGTGGAGAAGGCGGTGGAGGTGGAGAGGTCGGCAGCCAGGCACGTGCCCACGGAACTGCTGAGCTGCGCCAGAGACCAAACGGGGTCCCTGCACCGCGGGCGTGCTGCAGAACTTGTGCAGCATTTGCCCGAGAGAGCCCAAATGTGGGGGCTCTGGGAAGACCCAGGGTATCCCAAACGAGACCCAGGGAGAATGGGACGAGATGAAGCTGCGGACGTGCCGCAGGAGTTGGAACTCACGCCGAGTTCCCGAGTGGAATATGCACTCACTGGGTCTCAGAGGGTAACCTGGAGAGAAGGCCGCCCCCTGAGTCCTATTGCTCCTGGGTGTGCTCTGAGGTCAGTGGTGGAAGGCTGGTTGACCACTCTGGGAGCACCCCCAGCTGTGGCTGAGTCCAGGCGTGGTCGGAGGCCCTGGCAGGGGCAAGATCCCGCTGTCCCCTCGCGCTGCCGACTTCACCGAAGGGACCTCCGGACACCTTTTGCAGAGGCGCAGGAAAGTCACGGCCCAAGGAAGCGCCCACAGAAGACACGGACACCAGCACGTGTGGCCTATGAGGTGGTGGAGGGGGAGAGCGGAGCGGCTGCCGAGACCCCAGCTGCGGACACTCCGCAGGGCTGGGAGCCGCCGCACTGGCGGCAGCAGCTGGAGAACATTCGCAGCATGAGGAGTGGGAGGGACGCGCCCGTGGACCAGCTGGGCGTGGAGCACTGCCATGACCTGAGTGTGCCTCCTGAGGTAGGCGGGGCCCCTCTGCTCGGTGACCAGCCCCCGGGTCCCCAGCAGCTGCACTGAGCACTCCCAGCACCCCGCAGCCGGTCTGATCCCAATCCACAGAGTGGGCTTCTGTGGGAAACAGGCGTCCCGTCAGCCTGCCCGCCCGTCCCCATCCTGGGGTAGGCCAGCTGCTGTCCACTTCCAGACACCTCTTGGGCAGAGCACAGGAGCTGTTGAGGGGGGGCAGGGCACAGCAGGCCCAGCCCCACCCCCACCCCGCCCCTGCAGGTGCGCAGGTACCAGGTCCTGCTTTCACTGATGCTGTCCAGCCAGACCAAAGACCAGGTGACCGCGGGGGCCATGCAGCGCCTGCGGGCGCGGGGCCTGACGGTGGCCCGCATCCTGCAGACCGACGAGCACACGCTTGGCGCGCTTATCTACCCCGTGGGCTTCTGGAAGGTGAGGCCCTTCCTCCGCGCCACACTTCCTCCTCCTCCCCTTCTCCCTCGGCCCGCCCTTCCCGGGAGGCCACAGCTCCCCACTGTTTACGCTGCACAGCCAAGCTGGGTGCAGGCTGCCGGGTGGGCGGCCGTCAGCGGGCAGGCGGGTACTTCCCCTGCTCCGGAGTGGGCCGAGGCTGCCTGTCAAATGGGACTGAAATAGCCCCGGCCCACGGGATGGGAACCCCCCAGCTGGCGCACCCAGGGCCTCCTCTCCTTGCCGCGCAGTGACGGGCACCGTGGTTCCCTCCCGGCCATGTCCACCTAGTGTGCCCCCATTCCAGAGCAAGGCCAAGTACATCAAGCAGACGACCAGCATCCTGCAGCAGCGCTACGGCGGCGACATCCCTTCCTCCGTGGCCGAGCTGGTGGCCCTGCCAGGGGTCGGGCCCAAGATGGCACACCTGGCGATGGCTGTGGCCTGGGGCACTGTGTCAGGCATCGGTGAGTGGCACACACACCTCGGGACCCGAGACCTGGTCTTCTCCCTGACTTATGCTCAGGGCAAAGGGCAGCCCCCAGATAGGCCAGCACCAGGCTCCGGCCTCCCCCCGGCTTGCACTGGGCACGTTAGGTGGGTGAGAGAGGAGGACCAACGGGCTCTGGGCTCTGCAGCAGCACTGCCTACAGCCATGGGGCAGCCCAGGGTACCGGGGAAGGCTTCCTGGGGAGGGGGCACTTCTGCTGAGCACTGGAGGGGGGCCATGCTCCAGGTGAGAGCAGCATCGTGGGGTGGGAGATGTTGGCAGCTAGAGCCCAGGCTTTGGCCCCCAGTGCCATGTGGTTCCCTCTGCTCCCCTAACACCATGGGGTGTGGCAGGGAAAGAGAACAGAGGAACAGCAGCTGCTTAGCTGGGACCAGCACAGGTGGGGGGACCCTGGACTGAGGAGGGCCGCAGGGATGGGCCTCCCACTGTTTCTGCCAGGGCTGGGGCAGAGGAGATTCCGGTTCCAGGACAGGCCGATAGTAGCAACAGGGAAGCCAGACAGCCCACCCCTCGGGGCCATGTCCCCTCTCCTGCTTGGGAGGGCCCCATCCTCTTCCCTGCTCTGGGAAACTTGTCTCCTTCCCTGCTCAGCGGTCGACACACACGTGCACAGAATAGCCAACCGGCTTGGGTGGACCAAGAAGTCAACCAAGTCTCCAGAGGCGACCCGCACTGCCCTAGAAGAATGGCTGCCTAGGTGAGGGGCCGCGCTGGGGAGGCTTCCCTGGAGGGGTGTGTCCAGGGAGGGCTGGGCCTTGCTCCCCGCACTGATGTGGCCCCGTCTACAGGGACCTCTGGGGCGAGCTCAACGGGCTGCTGGTGGGCTTCGGGCAGCAAGTGTGCCAGCCAGTCCGCCCACGCTGCCAGGCCTGCCTCAACCGGGCGCTGTGCCCCTCAGCCCTGCAACCCTGACCGTCGCCCGGTGCCCGTGCTGGAACCCCTAGCAGTTTGCAATAAAGCCCAGGATTTTGCACACTTGGGTCTGCAGGCTCGCGCCCACACTCACACCTGCGCCCTGATCCCAGCCACGGGGGTCCTGGAGTGGGGGGGGGGGGGAGATGGAGGGGATCTCCGACATTGCTCGACGCTTCCTGGGAGGTGCTTCTAGGCCCAAGAAGGCTGGAGAGGCGCCTCCGGCCTCGGACACCCCCCCCCCAGCACAGTCCCGAGAGGACCAGAAACTGAGGAAAGCCTGTTTATTCCAAGGGCGCGCATGCGCTATGGCTTACAAGGCAGCCGGCCACGTGGTCTGGCAGAGGCGCGGAAGTTGGCCGGCCGTGGAGCCCAGCAGCTGGGGCCCTCCGGGGCAGCTCCTCTGGCCTCCCTGGGCTGCCCCGACAGGGACGAGGGGCCTCTCCAGAGGCTGCACCAGCTTCCGGTCCGGCCTCCATCCTTGGCCCCTTCAGGCCAGACCCCGCACCGAAAGGGTGTCGGGATGACGGAGCATCCTGGGGGCGGGCGGGGCAGTAAGTGGAAACATGTGGAGCTCAAGCTCTTTGGGGGGGTAAGGGAAGCAAAAAAAGATTCCTCCAGCCACAGGCACTGCCCTGCAGGACTCCCTCTCCAGTCCCTCCTCTTCTCTCTCCCTGAAGTCCCCCAGCCCCTTCCTTCCCCCCCCCCACCCCCAGTCCTTCCCCCGTCTCTCCCCGCTCCATCCTTTCTCTGGCTGTCTCTGGCGTGTCAATCGATTGGGGCCTCCCCCCACATCTGGCTGCCACATTCCCCAGGACCCCGCGAGCCACAAGCAGCACAGGCTCACGGGGTAGGAGGCTCCTGGGCGGAGTAGGGGACCACATGGCTTCTGGGGGCGCCGCTCCAGTCTCTGGGTGTGCAGGGAGGAGGCGGCGCAGGAGGAGGGGCTCAGAAGTTGCTGAAGATTTCGCGCTTCCGGTTCCAGTCCATCTGTGGCGCCCGCTTGTTGATGCGTGTGGCCCGAGCCTTCTCCTTGGCCTCGGCAGCCGTGGGGCTCAGGTGGAGGCCACTCTCCTGAAAGGGGTCGTGCTTCCACATACCGCCATCCTGGGGGGACACGGTGGCCAGGGTCTTGAGTGAGCCCCCAGGAGGACCCCGAGATGGCCCTGCAGACTGGGGTCTCGCAAACACACCGTGCTGGGACATGGTAGGGGCTGGGCAGGCAGCCACCCCCCCAACCCCACCACCCCCACCCATGCCGGGCAGGTCGCTGGGGATGGACGTGCTGAGCACTGCTGGCCCGAGGGTCCCCAGACGGGCAGGTTTGGGGCCTGCCAACCAAGCACTGCACACACATGTAAGGTGCACTAGCTGTACATACTGTGCCCACACAACACGTACAAGACACTACATAGCATGTGCGGGATACACACCATCCACATGCAGGGCATGTGCCTTCACAGCCTGAATGCAGGTTCACCTGCAAGCAGCATGTGTACATGTGTACACATTCCACATACACACCCAGTACAGTTGTGCACAAGCATGTGCAAAGTGCAAACATAGACGCACACATGTGCTTGTGATGGTGGCCATGAACACACACCCACCCGTGGATGTGCTTGTCAGCCTACATGCACACTGGTTGCACTCATATGCATAATTATCCATGTACACATGCTAGTCTGCTCACATGCGTGTTTATTCATGTGTACACACAAACATGTAGATGATACTCACGTTTGTGTGCACACATGCATGTCTGTGTTCACACACATGCTTGTGTGCACGCACACACATGCTTATCCATGTATACATACCTGGCCTGCACTCATACACATTTACGTGAGTTCATATATGCATGCTAGTCCATGTGTTAACATATACACATGCTTTAGCGTGCATTCACACATACGTGCCTTTCCATGCATTCAAGTATACACATTACACATGCTTGTCCGTGTGTTCACACATAAGCATGCCTGCCCATGCGTTCACACACATGCTTATCTGTGCGTTCAAATACATGCGTGCCTGTCCATGCATACACATGCTTGTACATACATGTACATACACATGTGCCTGTCCATGCACTGACATACATGTTCCTATCCATGCGTTCACACATGTGCCTCTCCATGCTCGTACACACGTGAGCAGCAGTGCTACACTTACTCCTCTATCAGCACCAAGCCCCCACTAAGCCCCAGGGCTGATCTGCTCTGGGCACTTGGGCCCCAAAGGTGTGTCCAGGGAGTGGCAGCTGCCTGAGGGGTTGCTCCATGGCGGATGGGGAGGCCAAGGCCTCAGACCATCCGACTTGCAACCGACAGGGTGTCAGGACCGTGCCCCGCCTGTTAGACCGGGGAGCGATCCATGAGGCCGGGTGCCCAGCCCCGCCCAGGCGCCCTCGCCCCTTACCTGGCTGGTCCCGTTGGTGGCTGGCGATGGCAGAGGCCCTGCGGGAACAGCACATCAACAGCTGCCGCCCCGCCCACCGCCACCCCGCCCCTGCACAGCCCCCGAGACCCACCCTCCACGTGCTCCTCCGTGGGCGTCACCCGCAGCCGCTTGAAGTGCTCATCCGTCTCAGGGTCCACCACGAGCAGCCGGGCCTCGTCCTCCCGTGCTTTGATGCTGGCGACCACCTCTGCATGCCGCAGCCCCTCCACATTCTCCCCGTTCACCTGCGCGGGCAGAGTGGGGGTCGGCACTGCCGGGCACAGCCCTGAGCCCCCACGCCACCCAGCCCAGCGTGACATCAAATATTCATCAGCGCTGTCACCAGCTGGCAGCTCGGGTTCCAGCGTCTCCCCAGACACCTGGGGACACCTGGGGACGGTACCTCAATGAGGCGGTCCTGGGCACGAAGGCCGGAGTGGGCGGCAGGCGAGCCAACGTCCACGGAGCGGATGTACTGGCCTGGCCTCGACTTGTCACTGTGCAGGTTGAAGCCGTAGCCCTGGGGGCCCTTGCGCAGGTGACACAGGCGCGGCCGCAACTCCCGAGGGGGCCCGTTGGCATCCTGTGGGTATGGGGGGGGGGGGCTGCAGCACCCTCACAGCAGGTGGAGCCCCGTGTCGCCTCCTGCCGCCCTCCCCCCCCCCCCCCCCCCCCGCCTCAGTTCCAAGCTCAAGCACCATAGGGACCAGGAAGGGGGCGGAGGGCAGCCGGAGGCGGCCGGGCCCAGCCTGCTCTCCCCACAGCCCTTGGCCTTGTCCACAGCCGTCCTTTCCCCCTGCTTGTTGCTATCACCAGGCCCTGTCCCACCGAAGACGTCCCCACAGTCCCCCCCCCCAGCTGTCCCTGGGCGCTGCCCCCAGGCTGGCCTCATTTGTTCCCTCGGGGCTGATGGCCCTGGCCTGCCTGTTTACTTTCACATTCCAGAGAAGGCCAGGCTGAGGCTCCCAGCCTTCCTGCTGCTCCCACGGAGGCCCGCGCTCCGCCCCAGGGCCCTGCCTCACTTTACCTCTGGCATCCTGCAGCTGCGGCTGGGCGCACTCTCGGCCTGAAGGGTGGCAGAGCTGGGTGACCAGCGGCTACCAAGCTCTGAGTGACAGGCCGGGACCGGGGCAGCGGGCAACGGCTCGGGTTTCCAGGGGCTGGGCGCATGCAGGCGTGGGGTGTGGGGGTGCTTCCTGGGGCCTCCACTCCGCCCCACCACTGCTCCCCGCGCAGCTCCCGAGAGCAGCCAGATCCCAAGCCTACTGCCGAGAGCTCTGGGCAGAGCTGAGGGCGGGTGCCTGGCCTGGCGCTCGCCTTCCTGTCTGTGAAGAACACCCTCTTCCTGTCCAGCCTTGGCCCTCCCCCGGGTCCCTTCCCTGAGCCCCTCAACCTGCTGGCCACCACTCAGGTCCCGAAGTGCCCCAGAGACGTGCCCCTTGGCCCCGGTGGCTAGGCAGGGGCTGGGAGTGGCCCCGAATTCCAGACCCCCAACTCCTGGGTGAGGCGGGCAGAGCCAGCCGTCGGGCCCCTTTCACCCCCACATGCGAGCACAAGTGTGCCCAGCCCCTGCCCTCTGGGACCCAGGCGGAAGAGGACTTGGGGTCGGAGTGACCGTGCCAGTGTCCACCCCACGTATCACAGCAGACCCAGGCATCGGGCCACAGGGGGACAGGCTGGGGCGCAGGAGGTGGCGTGGGACCCGAGGGCGAGCGCATTGCTCGCATTCCTGCTCTCCCCTGCTCCTGGCTCCCCCGGCACTTCCTGCCTCCTCCCCAGTCCCAGCTCCGCTCCTCTCCGCTCCTCTCCTCTCCTCTCCTCTCCTCCCCTCTCCTCTCTTCTCCTCTCCCCTACCCTCCCCTGCCTTCCCCTCCTATCCCTGCCCCTCCCCTCCTCTCCCCTCTTCTCTCCTCTCCCCTCTTCTCGCCTCTCCCCTCCCCTCCTCGGTTCCCAGTGCACCCAGCCTGCTGCCACCAAACAGAGACGAGCCGGGGGGACCCCGGGGCTTCGGTGCTCCCCGAGAGTGACTCACAGCCCAGAGAGAAAGGCCCCTTGTTCAGGGCCTGGCCTTCGCAGAGCAGCCCCCGCAGTCCCTCTCCCTGCCAGGGGCACAGCTGAAGCCTATGTCTGGGGTCCTCTGAGTCCACCCCGGCCCCTGCTGACCTGCACAGGACCCTGCATCAGGGTCCGTGGAGGGGCACTGGGGCCCGGGGCGGGTGGCGGGGTGGTCCCAGAGCGGGCCATGCGTAGTTGGCGGCGGGCGGCGTGTCCTGAGCTCTCAAGCCAGCCTGGCTCTGCAGCCCATTTATTCCGCTCCCCCTATGGCCCGGGCTCCCAGGGGATGGGTGGGGACTGGGCTGAGTCACTGGGGGAGTAGGGTGGTGGCTGCCGAGCCCCCTCCCCTGCCCAGGCCCCAGCCGGGCGCCTGCCGCCTGCCCCAGCCGGTTTCCGTCCAAGAGAGGAAGGAAGGAAGCGCTCAGGAACCCCACCCTGCTCCCAGGACCCCCACCCCAGAGCAGAGGCTGACCGGCTACAGGGCCCGGGTGGGGGGGGTGGGCTGAGCTGCTGGGCCCGGGGCTGGAGACGCTCTCTGGCATCCCCCTCAGGAGCCAGCCCACTAAGTCACTGTAACAAGGCCCGGACCCTGGGCCCCTCCCCCTGTCCCCCACAATGTCCACAGACACTGGGCAGTCACGTCCCCCAGCCCCAAGGCAGGCCGGCACCCCTTCTCCTGCCCCTCTTCAGTTCCCTGCAGGTCCCCAGGGAAAGACTAAGGAGGGTCACATCAGCGGGGACCCCGGCTTTGTTCCTCTAAATAGACCATGGGAGGAAGTTGCTCCTGGGCGTCCCGAGGCCCGAAATAGCGGGAAAGGCCGCCCTGCCCTGCAGATAAGGGGGGTGGAGTTTCCACAGGAAGGTGAGCTCAGCCCTGCCCAGGCCCACCCGCAAGGACTTTGGGGGAGCTTCCTGGGGGGGGGGGGCCGCTGCCTGGCCAGCTCACCACCCTGGGGGCCGCAGTCAGCCTCTGGACCTAACACAGGCAGGAGCACCTGCCATCAAGTTTTGAACTGCCAGACACCGGGTATCTGATACAGGGATTCAGGGACCCACACCCAGGAATCCCGGCCCTCGGGTCCCAGGCATCCAGCCCACGGACAGACTGTCCCCCAGGAGGAAGGCATGGCAGGGGATGGCAGGGGCAAGGCAGGGCTGGAATAAATGCTTCGGGCACTTCCTCCTGCCTCTGGCAGGGCCACCCAGGGCAGCTGTTGGGTGGGGACAGGCCCTCCCTGGTCCAGCATTTGCCTTCCACCCCAGGACCAGCCCCTCGGACAGACTGGGCTGCGCCGACACACGCAGAGCAGGACGCCGGGTCCTTCAGGGCTCCGGCAGGGGGACACCCAGGCCGCCTCCCCATGCCTTGGGGCACCAGTGTAGGGCAGGAGGGACAGACTTCCAGAGATGCCAAAGGCAGGGACAGCTACCCAGGCCAGCACAGGGCCCCACGGCAGAGCACAGCCTACCTTCTGGCCGGTTTGGGAGCCCAGGCTGCCCGCCTGCACCCAGTCCAGCTTTGGCTCCCAGGGGTCGTGGGCCGGCGGAAGCCCCCGCTGGGCCATGTCCTCTGTGCAGGTCAGCTGCCGCCGGCGGAGCTCCTCATCCGTATCCTTGTCCACCACCAGCAACCGGGTCTGGCCCTCCACGGCCTTAATCCTCTGTACCACCTGGTGAGGAGCGTGAGCAGGTCAGGGTCGGCACCTTGGCAGGGACATGCACGCGACACCACCCAGGCAGGCGAGCGCCCGTGCCGGCCACCAGGGGTGGGCGGTTGGACCGAGAGGCCTGCGGCTCCACCCCCCACCCCCAGCTCCAGCAGTGCCCGCCCTGCCTAGGGGCTCCTGACACTCGGGCTGAGGCCTTCCTGGGCTTCAACCCCAGAGGGTCTCCTGGAAGAGGCCAACTGCCAGGCTCGGCTGCCCACCCGTACATGTGCAGGCCGGAAGCCACCCGCCGCTCCGTGTCCCTGGGTCTGGGTCTGGCATGGAGGGACAAGGGTCCTGCTGGGCACCTGCTAGGGGGTCTGTGCCCTCGTGCTTCCAGCCTTGGCCCTGCCTCAGCAACAGGCCCGGACCCGGGCTGCGGACCAGACAAGCCAAGCTCGGCCCCGCCATTCCCGCTCAGGAGCCCGTGCTGGGCTTGGGCTGGTAAGTGGGAAAGAGCCCGGTGGGGGCACGGGTGCCACCTGCTGTGACCTTGTGGTCACCTGCCTGGGGTCAGGGGAAGGGGAACACGGGAGCTGGGGTGGGGCGGGCAGGGGCGAGACGGGTGCCAACAGCTCTGTCCCCCTGCCCTCCTCGACTGGCCGGTCTCCACGAGACCTGTACTGCTGCTCCTGCCTCAGGGGCCCCAGCCAGGCCCCCAGCCTCTCAAGCCCTAGACAGGGTCCTCCCTGCAGCCGCTGGGCACAGTGGGAGGGCCACAGGCTCTGCGTGGAGAGCTCTCAGAGGCCGGACGCTGGAGAACCCTGCGCCTCCTCCCTCGGCAAACAGCCTTATCTGCTCGACACTCTGGGTGGAAGGGGAGCTAGACCTCGGAAGGATGGACAGACAGACAAGGACCCCGCCAAGAGCCAGCGGCGTGGGTGGCGGGAGGCGTGGCCCTCGGCCGAGGACCCCAGCTGAGGCCGGGAGGCTGCAGGGCCCGGGAGAAGGCCCCTCCACCCCCAGGCTCCCCCACTCCACCCCGCTAGGGCCAGCCTCCCGGTCAGCTCAGGCAAGAGGCAGCCCCAGCGAGCCAGCGCTGTGCGTGCGGGCAGCGGTGGCCGCGGGGGAGAGCCGCCCTGGCCCCCGGGAGCCCCCAGAGGACCGCCCACGGCCCACGGAGGCCGTGACCGGTGGCCGCCGAGGCGCCCCCTCCGCGCGCGGGACCCAGCTTCCTGGGGGGGGCGGCCACGTCCGCAGCCCGCGCGCCCCGCGGCGGGCCCGGGCGGGGGTCGCGGCGCCGGCGGGGCCCACCTGGTGGTGCGTCTCGCCCTCCACGTTGACGCCGTTGACCTCGACCAGGCGGTCCCCGGCGCGCAGCGCGGCCGCCTCGGCTGGGGAGCCGGGCTCCACGCGCCGGATGAACTGGCCGCGGCGGCCCTTCTCGCCGTGCAGGTGGAAGCCGTAGCCCTGCTCGCCGCGCACCAGGCGGCACAGGCGCGGCCGCAGCTCGGGCGCGGCCATGGCCCGGCCCGGCCCGGTTCGGCTCGGCTCCGGCTCCGGCTCCGGCTCCGGCTCCCGCAGCTCCCGGGGGCTCCGGCCGCCCCGGCGCCGCCCCCGCTCCGCCCCCGCCCCGCCCCGCGTGCCCGGCCGGGCCCCGCGCCCCCCGCGCCGCCTGCCCGCCGCCCCCGGGCGCGGAGCCGCTGCCGCAGAGCCCCGGACCGGCCGGCCGTCTCCGGTGTGCGCGCCCGGGGGCGGCGCGGGGACCCCACGCAGGGGCCGGGGCGAGGGCCACGTGCCGTCCCGCAGACCCCGCCCGCGCGTCGGCACCAGGGTTGACCCCGCCAGCACCCCTGGCATTCTGGCGACCAGGGGCCCGCGGCGACAGAGTGGCAGCTGGCCTCCTTCCACCTCCCCCAAAGGTCAGCACCTCCACTGCCCCCACCAGGCCCACGTCTGCTGAGCGCTCCTGCCCCCCAGGAGCTTCCTGGGGGAGCATCCCTGCCTGAGGGCCATGTTGGAGGTCAGGTGGAGGGGCCTGCGCAGGACACCATGTGGCACCCCCCAGGCAGCCTGGACCAGGGCGATAGAGCCCAAGTGCTCCGCTGGTCCTCCTGTTCTGGAATCTTCTCCATCCCTCCGCACAGACAGCTGGGCTGCAGGCTCCAGCCCCCAGCACCCACTGTACCTGATTCCACAGGGTCAGGTAGAGCCAGCCCAGACAGTTCCCCAGGAGGATGGTGGCCCTGTGGGCGCAGGCTCCCAGCTGCCCACTCATGCCTTCCTCCTGCGCAGCCCCCCTGCCCAAGCCCAGGACCTGCCTCTGGGCAGCCTCCCGGGTCAGGGCCCCTTGGGTGCCCACACCCAGCTGCTGCCACTAAAAGCTGTAGCGTGGTAGCCCCCATGGCCCCTTCTGTGCTCCCAGCACCTGCCTGGCTGGCCACCACTACCCTCTGCTTGCCTGTCTAGCGGGTGGCATCCGGCCCAGACTGACCCAGTGGTGCTGCAGCCCAAAGCCTTGTGCAGGGGTTCAAGGCAGTACAGGCCCTGGTCCCGTGTCAGGAGAGCAGGATCTGGGCCCCTCTGTAAGACAAGCCTGGGGCTGCACAGTCCCTGGGGGACCCCACATGGCAACACAGGGGCCTCCTCACAGCTGTGTGGACCTGGCGTTAGGGGGGAGGGCTCAGTCAGGGGCCTGGAGCAACAAAGGAGCCGTGTGGAACTGTGGGTCACCCCAACGAGTGGCTTGACAATGGCTTTATTCAACTGCATGTGCATGGTGCAGGCCCCTCTGGAAGAAGGGTGGCCATGGGAGATGCCGTGCCCCCCCCCTTCCTGGGGAAGGGTCCGAGTAGGCTTTCAGGCTAGACACTCAGTCCTGCCTCAGGGAACTGACTGGCATTCAGAGTTCTAACTTGTCTCTTTTGGGGCTCATTGTTTCTTTTTTTTAACTGGAGAAGCACAAAAGGAGTAGAGGAAGTAGGGGGAAAGGTAACACAGTAACAAAGCCAGAGCCTCCCGAGAAAGGCAGTGGGGAAGGCAGCAGGAATGACAGGCCTGAGGGAGTAAGTGGGAGAGGGAGGACCAGAGGGTCCGGTCAGCGCAGGACCCCTGGAGGGCCTGCGGGCTGTGGTGCCGGGAGGGGTGGGGCCAGGGGGAGGAGAAGGCGGGCAACGTGGAGAGTCAGGGGCTGCCAACCTGGGGTCCCTGGGATGGGTTAGGAAGGTAATGGGGAGGCTGGCAGGTAGGAGGCACCTGGGAGGTGACCGGAGGTCCAGGTCGCTCTTCTGCACCATGCAATGTACACAAACCTCAGCGCTGCCCTGGCCTCCCCAGCCACCAGGGCCTAAGGGTGGGATGGGGCCCCCCTGGAGGTGTGGCCTAAGGGTGGGTTGGGGCCCCCCTGCAGGTGGGGCCAGTTAACAGTGGACACCCTGTTAATGGCCTACCTAATGGGTGTTAATGGCCTTGCTTAGGGCCTCCTCCCTCAGGCAACAGCGGGTGAGATCAGCGCAAGAGCCCGAGAAATGTCCACTGCAGAGACCCAGGCTCGAGGGAAGCTGCAGTGGGGAGCTGGGGGCGGGGGGAGCACCTTGCGCCCGGCTCCACCCACCTCCAGCTCCCACCGGGCTGTGGCCGAAGGAGCAGCCATCCAGCGCCACCTGCCGCCTCTTGGGGGCATTGACCCAGCCCTGCCCCGGACTGCGGCAAAGGCTTGGCACGCGCACCCCACCCGCACCCCCCAGCCTCTCTGTCCAGCAGGGAGAGGAAGGCAGCCCAGCCGGGAGGTCCTCGGGACCTACACCTGCCTCTCTGGGCTGCAGCGGGGCCCCAGGGCCCCAGAGCCAGGAACTGAGGGGGAATGTCCTGTGTGAGGCTGACTCTGGTCCAGTCCCTGGCACCATTTGGTCCTTGGAGCATCAGGCGCTACCGGGCCGAGCCATACCACCCTGAATGCTAGTAGGGCTCAGTGAGTCCAGGAGAGGCGGAGCCGGAACAGCTTTGCTGATCCAGCTGGGGCCCTGTGCTGCTGTGGGCTGAGTGCTCGGTGGTCCCAGTTCTCACAGGCTGGGAGGGGAGGGAACAAGAATGGGGACAGGCCAGCCAGCGGTGGAGCCCAGAGTTCGGATTTCTGGCCATTACTGTGGGGACCATGCTACGCACGCTGAGGTTCCTGGTGACTAGGGCACAACCCCGAGCTGAGCACAGGGGCAGCAGGGAGAAAGGATGGGCAGAGACAGAGTCTGCCACTGTCTGGTCACAGTGTAGCTCCTGGCGTGGGGCCTCCTGTGTGGAATCAGGGTTGGAAGAGGGGCTGGGGAGTACCGGGGTGACAGGACACTGTGGGAATCCAGCTGGAAACTCCAAACTGCCGGGAAGGGAACAGGAGGCCCCTGGGAGGCGAGAAGGTGGACACTCCTGGTCCCCTGTCTGTCTTTCAGGGTCAGCAGCAAGACTTTGCCCCGCCCCGCTCCCGCCACTGTGGGGGGGGAGCCGGTGAGGGGAAACCCTAGGACCTAGTCTGGAGCCCCCCCCCCCCAATCAGAGGTACTGGAGAAGGAGAAATGGGTAGAGGCCAGGGTAGCGTCCCCTCTGGGATGGGACAGACACCGCGTGGCTGCAGGACCATGGGAGGCTGGATCAGAACACACAGAGACGGTGATGGCAGGTCATGGGGGGGCTTTATTGAGCGCCAGCGGGCTGCAGGCAGGGGCAGCACTAGGACAGGGGCATGGTGGCCCTCGGTGCAGACCAAGGCAGCTCGGCGGGCTCCGCAGAGGTTCTGGAAAGAAGAGCAAGGGGTGAGGATGGGCGGGGGGCAGGTGGGCTCCGATCCGGGGGCCCCTTCCCCGCCCTCCTACCTGGCCTGCTGCTGCTGCGGCCCGGTCCAGGCAGTGACGCGCGGGTTGCGACCCGCCCCGACGGGCATCCCGGGCCCCGAAAGCGCATCGCGGGCGGCGGGCCCCGCCACGGCCGCCTCTCCCGCCGGCGCGCCCGGTCCGACAGCGCGACGCCAGACGGGAGGAGCGCGGCGCAGGCCCAGGAGCAAGCCGGCCGCGCGCCCCACCGTGTGGAAGCGGGGGGTCGCCGCGTGCTTGTACCAGGCGTCGGCGGGCTCCGGGGGCAGCTGCAGTAGCAGCAGCAGCGCCAGCAGCAGCGCGCACGCCGGGGGCCGCTGCATCTCCTGAGCGGGTCTTCGCAGGACCGGGAGGCTGCGGAGCGGGTGCCCGCCGCCGGGCTTTAACTGCAGGGGGTGGGGGCTGCTCGCACCAGCCGCGCCGCTGGGATCCCCAGGACGGGGGCGGCGCGCAGCAAAGCCGCGTCCCTGAGCGGCCCTCGAGTGGAGCCTCCTGGAGCGCCCCCGCTCCCCTCCTCCCCGCTAGAGGAGGGGCTGCCAGGAAGAAAAGTGGGGCCCATGGGGTGTGGGGAGAAACATGTGCCCTCTAGCCAAAGCTGTCGATGGGGGGCAGTGGGAGTGCCCCTCCGCTGCACTCTGGCCCATCCCGCCCTCCCCCTCCAGCTTGGTGCCAGCCGCAGGATGGGTGTTCGCCTAGCCACTCTGGGGGGTCTGGCCCTCCTCACCCCAGTCTGCTGGCCTCCACCCAGCGCCCCCATGACGCCAGCACCCTTTCTGCAGTCAGGCCTGGGGCTGGTCCTGTCCACCAGCTCAGGATGGCATCCAGCCCCCTCTGTACTGGCCACTACTTGACCTTTCTTCTGAACCTCACAATCTCCTACTCATCCCTTCACAACTCTCTCAACTCCCAAAGGTGCTGACCTGAATCCTCCTCACCCCCACCCTGTGTTACCCGGGTGCCTGCCCGGAGGAGGCAGCCATGAAGGATACCACCCCCATGCCAGACTTGGCATCAGAAGCAACTTATTCTTTTGTTTTTGCTTTGGGGGCCACGCCCAGCTGAGCTCCGTGCTCAGGGATCACTCCAGGTAGGATTGGGGAACCATAGGGGGTGCTGGGGATCAAACCCCAGTGGGCCATGTGAAAAGCGGTTCCTTGCCCACTTTGGGTCTGGCCCAGAAACAGCTTATTCTGACCCCAAGAGGAGTCCTGGTCCCAGTTGCAGTTGGGGACCCAGGAGGTCACCTGTCGGCCCCATGTTTGGAAGGGCCACTGGGCTGGGTGGGCACTCGGAGCCTCCTCCTGACTCCTCCGAAGAAAGAAGGGTGATTCAGGGTAGGGGACACAGATCCAGAGAATTTCGGGTGCAGAGGATAGGCCTTCTGGGGCATCCCTGGGACGGGTTAGCAAGTGGGCAAAAGGCCTGCACGATGGCATGACGGGAAGGTCAGCAGGCAGCAGCCAGCCTCCTCGCCCGGCCCTGCATGAGTACAGGTGTGCCCAGCACACTGGCCTCTGTGACTTAGCAGGTGTTGGCCCCTCCCGGAGGGCACTTGGACCACCGTCTCTCACTGCCACCAGAAGGGGACTTGCCCCTAACTGTGTACTCACAGCCAGGGCCTGGAGTGGGTGGCAGGGGGCAGCCAGGGCAGGAGGGCGGGGGGGCAAACGGGGAGCAGGAGGGAGGCAGCCAGGGCCCGGGGACGAGGGGGCTGGGGGAGGGGTGGGAGCAAAAGCACTGGGGGACTGGGGTGGGGGCAGGAGGACTGAGGAAGCTGGGGGCCTGAAGGGTGCTTGTACCCAGCCGCCCCTGCTGCAGGCCTGCTCCCGGGGGCCCTCGGGCTGGAGAGGATCCTGAAGTGTAAGTGCGTGGGCAGCGGGCACAGCACGACTGCATCCTCCAGGGACCCGTGCAGCCGCCCCCTTGCTGCCAGGAGACCACAGGCACACAGGATCGGGGGCTGTAGGGGGCTCAGGAGAGCCGGAACCAGGAGGGCTGTGGGATGTGGGAAGGGGGTGCCAACTTGGCTAAAACGGAGGGGAGTGAGTCACAGTTGCCCAGCCAGGCTGCAGGCAAGGACAGGGGTGCCAGACTGTAGTGAGACAGTGTCTGTAGTGGGGGACAATGACTGTAGTGAGACAGTGTCTGTGGTGGGGGACAATGTCTGTGGTGGGGGACAGTGTCCATAGTGGGGAACCATGTCTGTAGTGGAGAACCGTGTCTGTAGTGGGACACAGTGACTGTAGTGGGAGACAACATCGTGGTGGGACACAGTATCTGTTGTGGGGAACAGTGTCCATGGTGGGGGACAGTGTCCGTGGTGGGGGATAGTGTCTATAGTGGGACACAGTGTCTATAGTGGGAACCAGTGTCTGTAGTGAGGGACACAGTGACTGTAGTGAGGGACACAGTGACTGTAGTGGGACACAGTGTCTCTGGTGGGACACAGTAGTCTGTAGTGAGGGGTATAGTGTCTGTAGTGGGAAACTGTAGTGAGACATAGTGTCTGAGGTGGGACACAGTCAGTAGTGAGGGACACAGTGTCTGTGGTGGGGGACAGTGTCTGTAATGGGACACAGTGTCTGTAGTGTGACATAGTATCTGTTCTGAGGGACACAGTGTCTGTACTGGGAGACAGTGACTATAGTGAGACACAGTGTCTGTAGTGAGACACAGTGTCTGTAATGGGACACAGTAACTGTAGTAGGACACAGTGTCTGTGGTGGGACACAGTGACTGTGGTGGGACAGTATCTGTGGTGGGACACAGCATCTACAGTGAGGGACAGTGTCTGTAGTGGAAGACAGTGTCTGTGGTGGGACAGTTGTCTACAGGGACCCTTCTTGGTCACAGGCAGCTTGGGGTCCCTTTGTCAGGATTTCCAGGGCGCTCTGTTCCTATTCCTGACCACAGGCCTGTGTGGCCGCCTGTGCTGCTGTATCAGGGTTCTCCATCGCAGCACCCGGGACATCTGTGGGGAGCCCTGTGTACTGCAGAGTTGGAGTTGGGTGGGTCCCTGGCCTTTCCCCAGTTATATGAGCAGAGTAGGTCCCCAGCTGTCTGCAGGTCAATGCCTGGAGCTGCTAGAGGGGATGTCGAGGCACCAGAGTACAGAAGGGGGCTCAGAACTGCAGGGCCCAGAAACCTCGGAGGCTGGGAAAGGGTCAGGCCGCTACTCGGCGGAGTATCTGCCCTGGGCGCAGAACCTTTACCCCGCAGTGAAAACGGACATAAAGACTAGGAGATGGTCCTGCCTAGTGCAGAGCGCCCAGCGAGGCTAGTCTGGCTGGCTCTGGGGGGCTACTCCTGGCTCTGTGCTGGGGGTCACTCCTGGCGGTTTTCTACAGATCATGCGGTACTGGAGATGAAACTGGGGTCTCAGAAGTGTTTGGTCCTTTGCTCCGTCTCCCCAGTCCCCTGCAGTCCAGGCTGGAGACTGTGCTCCCAAACCCGAAGAGATGAAATCCCCCGTTGTCCTGAGTCCCCTGATCGGCAGGGACAGAGAAGAATGGGCCACTCAGCACCATGGCCTCCCCTCACTTCCCCAGGACATAGCCCAAAGGTCCCAGTCTCCAGGCGCTGGGTCCTCGCACCCACATGCTTGCATGCAGGGGGCCGTAGGGGGCGGCTGGTGGCAGGGCATCTGCAGGCTGCGTGCTCTGTCCTTTGGGAGAGCCATTTTGTGAGCGGCTCCAAAAACCGAAGCCCTGGAGGAGTGGGGGTTCCCAGTGGCTCCGCACTTGCCCACTGCTTCCCACGCCCCGATCTTGCTCTCAGCTCCACAGGTGGCCCCAGACAGCCTGCACGTCCCTCTGGCCTGCCCCTCAGGGGCCGACTTGTCCTCGAGCTTCTGGCAGGGGCTCAGGGTGGATGGTTGCCAGGGCCTCAGCTCTCTGCCCTTACGTGACTTCTCCAGGCAAGGAGGAGCTTTCCCCGGGGAGAGAAGTGGGTCCGGAAAACATGCTTCCCTCCGAAATGCAGGGACTGTCTGGGTCCTTTAGTCCCACCGTTCCCCGCTGCCTCCCTTATTTTGTTAGCGTTCTGATGTTGGAGTCCCTCCATTTCTGGTGTGCCAGGGTGTGGAGGTCGCGCAGTGCTCAGGGCCAAACTGGCAGCCTCACCCCTGGAGCTACAGCCCAGCCTCTTGTGGCTCCGTCCCCAGGAGCCTTCCAGGCCTTGGTTCTCTCTGGTACCTGGACTGGAACACGGTCTCGCATGCCCTTCCCGCTGCCCTGTGGCTCTGGCCCCGCAACTCTACCTGGGAGTTGCTGGCTGGAGTGGGTTTCACTGGGACACGGGGCAGCACAGGTCCTGCACCGGGAACGATCCGCACCCTGCGGAGGGAGACGGAGTGGGCTGGAGCCCCATCCCTGCAGCCTCCTCACCCCCTCCTCAGGGTGGCTTCCCACTGGGATATTCTCCTCCTCTCCCTACTCTGCCCCCGGGTTTTCTTGCCTGTCCGCCTCTGCTGTCTGGTCAGGGCTGAGGCGAGGAGGGGCGCTGGGGGGACTGGTCAGCAGCCCGCCCCGTAAATGAGGCGGACAAGGTCTGCCCCGGGTCCCCAGCGGGCAGCTCTGCTCGGCCCTGCTGCCCGTCGGCTTCCATGCAATGCTGTCTCTTTCTCGGGGGTCCTGCAGGGCGCGACCCCGCCGCGGCACGCCCACCCTGGCAGCCCCGAGGCCGCCGGGCCGTGCAGGGGGCACGAGGGGTCTTGGCCAAGACGGCCGAGCCGGCCTGGGGGTCGCGGGGTCCGGTTCGCGCGGGCCACCGATAGATAGGAGTCTCCCATCAGGCGGTGGCCGCGGTGGCCGTCCGCCCGGCGTCCCGGGAAGCCGTCTCCCGGTCCCCGACGGCCCTAGCGCAGGAGCCGCGGGGCGGACCGGAGAGAGGAACAGGAGCGGGCGCGCCGCCGGGGCCGGCTAGAGCGCCCGAGCGCGGCGGCTACGCTCTAGCCCGCACCTCGGTAGGCGGAAGCGGCAGCGCGCGCGGCTTCCGCCGGGCGGGGCGGTTGCGGGGCGGGTCGTGACGTCGCCGGAAGGGGCGGGGCCCGCGGAGCCAGCCGCGCCGCGCCGCGCCGGCCGGGAGGGGCCGGAGCCGGACCATGGCGGCGGTAGCCGCGGCGGCGGCGGGGTCCGAGGGGCGGCGCGCGGCCCTGGAGGCGGCGGCGGCGCCCCGAGCGGGGCGGCGGGAGCTGCGTGCTGTGCTGCGGAGACCTGGAGGCCACGGCGCTGGGCCGCTGCGACCACCCGGTGTGCTACCGCTGCTCCACCAAGATGCGGGTCCTGTGCGAGCAGCGCTACTGCGCCGTGTGCCGCGAGGAGCTGCGCCAGGTGCGGGGCGAGCGCTGCGGGCGGGCGGGCGGGTGCCCCCCGCGCCCCACCTGCCCGCCGGAGGAGTGGCCGCGCGCCCCGGAAGTGCCGGCCCGGCAGGGATGAGGCCGTGGGAGATCCGGGAACCTTGGCCCGGGCGGCCCCGAGAGCACCTCCCCGGTGCCAGGCGGCCGGGCCGGCGTGGCATGACGTAATCCTCCCGGCCAGCCGCCCCGCTCACCTGGGGCTGCCCGGGTGTGACCCGAGCCGGGCTCCCGCTGCTCGGCCCTGCGCCAGCGGGAAGGTGCCCCGTGCCCACCCACCTCCGCCTTGCCCAGGTCCTGCTTCCTCTCGCCCGCTCCCGGGCCCTGGGACTCCCTTCGTTGCATTCTGGGGGAGGAAGTGAAGGAAGGGCCGGGAGGAGCGCCCAGGGCCCCCTGCTACAGACCCAGTTTGGGTGCCAGCCTGGCTCTGTGGCTGGACCAGTGTGGGGGCCTGGGCAGAGGGGTGTGTCTGGCAGCCCCATGGCCTGGCACAGGCTGGAGGGGGTCGGGAAGATCTGTGCCTCAGGCTCTGCTCAGTCGGCTCGGGGGTGACCGTGCCAGGCTGCACGCTGCAGTAAGGTTCCAGCACCCCGTCCACCTCCTGGGGGCCAGCCCTATGCTGGTCAGAGGCAGGGACGTGTTGTCAGCTCCCAGCTGCTGGAGTGGCCACCGGCGGTGGCAGCTCAGCATGTGGGATGCTCACGTCGCTCTGCCACTCAGCGCTGCGCCTGCAGCTGCTCGGGGACTGGGCGGTGTATGAGGGGTGGCCGGGCCGTGACCCTGCATGCCAGGGCGAGGACGGGCCTTTGGCCGATTCGGGGGTGCTGGGCTGGCAGCTGTCAGTAGACTCGGGTTCCTGTGGCCTTCCCACATCCCCTGCCAGGGCTGTTCCATCCCACACCTGGGTCCAAGGGAGTGGAGGACAGGAGCTAAGGTCTAGACGGGTCTGGGCTGCCCTGAGGGGAGGCCTCGCCCAGACAGGGGAGACATGGGCACCAGGCAGCTCCCTGCCTGCTCAGACTCAGCCCCACTCCCCTGCCTGGGGCCTGCCTGCCTTGCTCGGGCTGCATGGAGTCCGAGCCCCCAACTCTTCGCTCTGCTGTGGGGGCGGTGTCCACTCGGCCTGGCCTGCCTGCACATGGCCACATCCGGGCCTTTGGGGCCCACCGTCCTGCATCTGAGCTGAAGCAGGTGACCTTGATGTGACCTTTCTGCGCTGAGGGCAGAGCTGAGGCCACCGGTCAGGGCACCCTGCCTGCAGTCCTGGGCCAGGCCCAGTGCTGTGGGGATCCCTCTTGGCCTGTTGGGGCTACGGGTGCAGTGGACGGGCTCAGTCTTGGGCGGTCAGCGGTGGTCCCTCACTTCCCCATGACTGTGCCAGCACTGGCCTGGCCTTGCGGGCGGCGGTGGGGCTGGGAGCGATGGCGCTTACCACCGCTCCGGGCCCAGGTGGGTGTTCGGGAAGAAGCTCCCTGCCTTCGCCTCCATCGCGCTCCAGCAGCTGCAGCACGAGAAGGCCTACGACATCTACTTTGCTGACGCGAAGGTGCTGGCCTTGTACAGGTGAGAGGCAGGGGCAGAGGGCTGGACGCCACCTTCCGTGCGCCCGGGCAGGGCGGGGGCAGACGGGTGGATGCAGCCCCGTGGCCTCTCATGTGCCCAGGCAGTTGCTCCAGCACGAGTGTCCGCGCTGCCCAGAGCTGCCGCCCTTCAGCCTCTTCGGGGACCTGGAGCAGCACATGCGGAAGCAGCATGAGCTCTTCTGCTGCAAGCTGTGCCTCAGGCACCTAAAGGTGGGCCCGGGGCTCCCACAGGTGGGGGCCACAGGCACCGCAAGGCGGGAGGGCAGGGACAGACCCTCAGGGGGCCACCACGCCTGCTGCCTTCTGCAGATTTTCACCTTTGAGCGCAAGTGGTACTCACGCAAAGACCTGGCCCGGCACCGGATGCAGGGGGACCCCGATGACACCTCGCACCGTGGACACCCCCTCTGCAAGTTCTGTGATGAGCGCTACCTGGACAATGACGAGCTGCTGAAGCACCTGCGCCGGGACCATTACTTTTGCCACTTCTGTGATGCTGACGGTGCCCAGGACTACTACAGGTGTGTGTGCATGTGAATACAGGTGTGTGCATGTGAGTACAGGTGTGCATTGTGAGAGTACAGGTGTATGCGTGTGAGTACTGGTATGTGTATGTGAGAGTATAGGCGTGTGCAAGTACAGGTTTGCACATGTGAGCGCAGGTGCACGTGTGAGTGCTGGTGTGCGCATGTGAGTACAGGTATGCGCGTGTAAGGATGCAGGTGTGCGCATTTGAGTGCTGGTATGTGCAGACTACAGGTACGAGCATGTGAAAGTGCAGGTGTGCACGTGTGTGTGCAGGTGTATATTCGTGAGAGTGCAGGTGTGCGCGTGTGAGAACAGGTCAGGTGTGTGTGCATGTGAGAGTATAGGTGTGTGTGAGTACAGGTGCACGGGTGTCAGCACATGTGTGCGTGATTACAAGTGTGCGTGTGTGAGAGTACAGGTATGCGGTGAGAGTACAGGTGTGCACATGAGAGTACAGGTGTGAGAGTACAGGTGTGTATGTGTGAGTCTACCACTATGTGACCGCAGGCATGTGCGAAAGCATAGGTATGTGTGTATGCACATATGTGTATCAGGGTCCAGACTATAAGGCATGTGCGTGTGCAGCTGGGGCCCCGGGAATAGAGTAGGGGGTGTGTGTGTGCCACTCAGAGGGACCTCGACTGACTTGAGGGGTCGGGGGGACGTGCAGACCGTGGCGGGTGTGTGGGGTCAGCTGAGGCTGGGGCTGGGGCTGGGACTCCTGCACCTCCAGGGGCTCAGTCTGGTGGGTCCTAACCCCCGGCTGCCTTGCCAGTGACTATGCGTACCTGCGCGAGCACTTTCGGGAGAAGCACTTCCTGTGTGAGGAGGGCCGCTGCAGCAGTGAGCAGTTCACGCATGCCTTCCGCACCGAGATCGACCTCAAGGCCCACAAGACGGCCTGTCACAGTCGCAGCCGCGCCGAAGCACGCCAGAACCGCCACATTGACCTGCAGTTCAGCTACACGCCGCGGCACCCGCGCAGGGCGGAGGGTGAGAGGGCCCTCCTGGCGTCCCTGCGGTGATGATGCCCCAGAGCCCTGAACCGCGGGAGCAGGGGCCCCGGGTGATGGCCCATGTGCTGGCTGCAGGGGTGGTCGGCGGTGACGACTACGAGGAGGTGGACAGGTACAACCGGCAGAGCCGTGCGGGCCGGGCTGGTGGGCGCGGAGCCCAGCAGAGTCGCCGAGGAAGCTGGAGGTACAAGAGGTGGGAGGCCTCCCTTGCACACGTGATATTCTCGCCACCGCGGCCGTGCCTGGGAGGAACCTGGGGGTGAGGGATCAGAGGACTGTGCCCCGCACATGGCCCCATGCACCGGCTAGCCTGTCGGGCACGCCTGCCCTGCCTGAAGAGCCACCCTCCCCAGGGAAGAAGAGGACCGGGAAGTGGCCGCTGCCATCCGGGCCTCGGTGGCTGCCCAGCAGCAGCCGGAGACACGCAGGAGTGAGGACGGCGAGGAGGCCGCACCGCGGGGCCCGGAAGAGTCCCGAGGCCCCCGACGGCCCCCACGGACTCAGGGTGAAGGCCCAGGTGAGCCAGCCGCCCGGGGACATGTTGGGTGGCCTTGAGCCTTGTCACCGGGGACTGACACCCCAGTGGGCCGTGACACAGGATGGCTCCCCTTCCCTGTCCTGCAGGCCCCAAAGAAGCCTCCCCAAACGGACCCGTGAGCCAGGAGGCCTTCCCAGCCCCCGGGCCAGCCCTCGTGAGGTGTGTGTGGGTGCTGGGGGCAGGGTGTGGTGACCGGGTGGGTGTGGCCGGGCTACTGACCCCTACTCGCCCCGGCTCAGTCCCCTCGTGCCAGCCCCTGTGAAGCTCAAGGACGAAGACTTCCCCAGCCTCTGCGCCTCCACTTCCTCAGGCCTGGCCCCCACGGCGGTCTCCGCTCCCGTGGGGCTGGCTCTGGTGTACCCCGCGCCCCCCCGGGGCAGGAGTACCTTCCAGGAGGAGGACTTCCCCGCCTTGGTGCCCTCGGCCGCCAAGCCCAGCCCTGCCTCCACCAGCCTCCTCTCTGCCTGGAACAACAGCAAAAAAGGGGTCCAGCCCAGCCCCGGGGGCCTGGCGGCCAGGAAGGCTGGGAAGGGGTGCAAGGGCGGGAGGAAGGGAGGGCCGGGCCCTACGGAGGAGGAGGAGCCCCGGAGTGTGCCCCTCGTCGGGGCGGGTCCCATCCTGCTGGCCCCAGGTTCCACCCCCTCTTTCACCAAGGTGGGCAAGAAGAAGAAGGTGGGCTCGGAAAAGCAGAGTGCCGCCTCGCCCCCCCCAACCCCCCCTGACCAGGCGTCAGGGGCTGAGCACCCCACCTCAGCGCCCCCTGGCAGAGCTGAGGGGTCCGGAGCCATCATCGTCAATGGACACACAGAAGCACCGACCCTGGCCCGAAGCACCCCCAAGGAACCCCCTGGGCTCCCACGGCCCCTGGGGCCCCCACTGGGCCCCACCCCTCAAGAAGACTTCCCAGTACTTGGTAGCCCCTGCCCGCCCCGGATGCCGCCTCCCCCAGGTAGGGCACCGGGCTCCCATCTGCTTGCAGGCATCTGGGCAGGTGGGGGGTGGGAGCGGCCCCCGTGGGCTGGGAAATGGGGTGCGGGTGGGTCATGCTCTGGGCCTGCTCCCTCCTAGGCTTCAACACTGGGGTGATCCTGAAGAACACCCCACCCCCACCAGGGCTGGTGCCCCCTGTCAGCAAACCACCACCCGGTTTCTCCGGTCTCCTGCCCAGCTCCCACCCCTCCTGTGCTCCCAGCAGCAGCACAAAAGCGTGAGTGCTGGTGGGCCAGACCCTGCCTCTGGGGACCGGGGGAGGCGGGCGCTCTGTGAGGCTAGGCTTCCATGGCTGTACCCCTCACCCAGGTCTCGGCCACCGCCTGAGGCGCGGGCCTACCTGGTCCCTGAGCACTTCCGGGAAAGGAACCTGCAGCTCATCCAGTCCATCAGGGACTTCCTGCAGAGTGACGAGGGACGCTTCAGCCAGTTTAAGAGCCACTCGGGGGAGTTCCGGCAGGTGAGTGGCAGGGTATGGCAGGAGGGCCGGGCTGCAGGGGTGGGGCTGGCCGGCAAGGCTTCTTCTCTGTGGCAGGGTGTCATCTCCGCGGCCCAGTATTACAAGAGCTGCCGGGACCTGCTCGGGGAGAACTTCCAGAAGATCTTCCAGGAGCTGCTGGTGCTTCTGCCTGACACGACCAAGCAGCAGGAGCTGCTGTCAGCCCACGCAGACTTCTGCGGGCGGGAGCGGCCGCCCGGCACCAAGGCCAAGAGGAATAAGAAGAGTGCATGGCAGGCCAGCAGCCGGCAGGTGGACCTGGCCTGCTGTGTGTGTCCCACGTGCCGGCAGGTGCTCGCGCTTGGGGATGTGGACAGCCACCGGGCGCTACACGATGCCAGCGATGAGGACTTCCCGTCCCTGCAGGCCATGGCCAGGATGATCACGTAGCTCCTGCTGCCGTGCGGCCCCAAGCAGCGTGCTGAGTGCCGCCACCGTCGCCCCTGAGTGCCAGGCGGCCACCAGCTCAGGCTGCTCAGCCGGCCAGCCTGCAGGGGTCTGCAGGAGCTGCCTCCCTCGTCCTCCCGGGGCAGTGGTGGGCCGGCCCAGACACGGCGCCCCGTCCACAGTGCCAGAGCCAGAGGCTTCGGCACCAGTGCCCTGAGCAGGACGCTGCGGGCTCACCGGTGCTGGAATCGATGCTGAGTGTGTTGTGTAAATGGGTAGCTGTTTCACGGTTCCAGAATGTTCAGGATTAAAAGCAGACACAAAATTGTGCTACTTGAAGTTGAACCTTTTTGAGGCAAGCTGAATCTGGGATCTCAAATCGCCTCTGATCTTTTATAAGACAGTTTATCTTCAAATAAATTTATTTTGCAATAATGCACATGCTGGGTGTTCTGAGCTTCTCTGCCTTCTGAGCTCATAGCCCAAGACCCGTCAGCAGAGTCTGGCCCTGCAGTGGAGGACGGCCCGGGCACAGCCTGGCCTGGTGCCACGGCCTTAGGTGCTATGGCTGGGCTTCTGCCCCCTGTCCGGGAGCCAGTACCTAAAGAGAGACTAGCCTGGTGGCTCAGAGGGTACAGGGCATGTCTGAGAGGTGTCCTGAGTTACTGAATCTTGGGAGGAGGGCGGGAGGGAAAGCACAGCAGTTGGGGCGTTCACCTTACACACAGCCAACCTGGGTTTGATCTCCAGCCATGTCAGCTGCTTTTTAAAGTTACATGTGTTCCACATCGAACCCAGCGATGGCTTTGGGCACTGGTTCCTGAGAAAGTTCTGTGCATGGCCACCTGTGTCCGTGTCAGGAGCCTCTTACTGGCAATCATTGGAACCTGGAGAGGCCCAGTGCCCGACGACACATGTAGCAACCCAGCCGCAGTGAGGGAGGTTTAAAAACCACTGCGGAGGGTCTGCTGACTCAGGTGCCTGATGTTGCTGCAGCAGAAACAGGTGGAGACAGCGCGGCTGCGGGGCGGGGGAGACAGTGCGTCCGCACCTTCGTGTGTGTTTTCCTTCATTGAATTGAGGGCCACGCTAGGCAGGGCCAGACCTTATGTGGGTTAGGAAACCTGGGCGTGAGCTGCCAGGAAACAGGAAACCCAGTGCTCTAAGCTGCCCCTCTGGCCCCAGGGCTCTCACCCATGCTGGCACCGAAGGCTCTGCCACATGTCCCTGCCCAGGCTTGATTCCCAGTCCTAACTGCCTTTGAGTTGTGAATTTTTCCCTTTAAAATGTCTGCAAGGCTGGGGCTGGAGCAATAGCACAGTGGGGAGGGCATTTGCCTTGCACGCGGCCAACCTGGGTTTAATTCCCAGCATTCAATAATGTCCCCTGAGCACTGCCAGGAGTAATTCCTGAGTGCAGAGCCAGGAGTAACCCCTGTGCATTGCCAGTGTGACCTAAAAAGCAAAATAAATGCCTGGCATGCAGTCAACCCAGGTTTGATCCCCAGCACCCAAATGGCCTTCTGGGCCCAGCAGAAGCGATTGCTGGTTGTAGAGCCAAGACTAAGCCCTGAGCATGGTCATGTGTGGCCCTGCGCACCCCTCCCAAAAGTCTAAAAAACAGGCTCAGAGGATTAGTATCTTGCATGTGGCTGACTAGGGTACGATCCCCAGAACTTCATATGGTCCCCGAGCCCCACCAAGAGTACAGAGCTCCACCAGGTGTGGCCCCAAAACAAAAACGTGTGAGAAACAGGAACACACAACCCTTGTAAATGAGACTGAAGCACAGCAGAAAGCGGACAGAGAGCTGCGAAGGCAAAGCAGCACAGGACAGCCAAGGACGCCAGGGCAGGTGGCCGGTGAAGAGGTGTCCGACAGGAAGGAACACTGACCTGCCAGCATCACTGACTGGAAGAGGACACACAAGCCTGTGTGATGACGCCGAGTGAGAGGGAGCTCAAGATCACACATTCACGTGGAGAAAGAGCAACAGAAAGAGAACCTGGAGAGATCAAGGGTGTATGGGGGAGGGGGTGCAGCCTCACATCCTGCTGACCAGGACCAGAGTACTGTCAGGAGTGAGCCCTGAGCACCACCGGGAGTGGCGAGAAAGCCAGTACTCAATGGCTGCAATCACACACGCATAAAGACAGATCAGAAGTTCCCAGAGCCCAACTGGGGCAGCAGAACTGGGGGACACCTGTTCCATAGGTGCAGGGTCCAGAGCAGATGGCAGTGACAGCTGTACAATACTGCAGCTGGAATTAATGCCACTGGACTTAACGCCTAGATGTGAACTGCCAAGGTTTACTATGTGTGCACAGACCTCTGAGATGTTTGCTTGTGGATCTACACAGACAGGAAGTCACAGTGAGAAGGATGCATCTACGAACCGCAGGTACCGATGAGTCTGCTTTTATTTAATTTTATTATTATTGGTTTTTTGCCTCTTGGGTCATACCCAGCGATGCACAGGGGTTACTCCTAGCTCTGCACTCAGGAATTACTCCTATAGGTGCTCAGGGGACCATGTGGGATGCCGGGAATCGAACCTGGGTCAGCCACCTGCAAAGCAAATGCCTACCCGCTGTACTATCACTCCAGATCCTGAGTCTGCTTTTAAAGAGGGTCACTGGGCCGATTTCTTGCTCTGCAGGTGTGTGGCCCCAGGTCCAACCCCGCAGCACCAGAAAAGAAACAAAACCCCAAAACCTCAAGCAGAGGAAGTATTATCAAAGAGCCCTGGTTGTCCAGAAAACGACAAAGGGGGCCTCCTGGCAGCTCAGCCTGGCGGTGCATTTCCCAGGTCCAGATCAGCCTGGCAGGGGTGGGGCAGAAGTGACGCCACAGCAGACCCATTTCCAGTCTTTATTGTAAAGAAGTTGCAGTTGGAACAGGGGTCACTGAAAATACACAATCACAGATTGGTCTTTCAGAAGAGGAGAGGAGAGGAGAGGCTAATATATACAAAAATTGTAAACATGTTCATTTAATTTCCACGCGGAGTGGCCTACATGACACACAGGCTGTCATTCCACCATCACTGCAGCAGGACATTCTGAGAATGAAATGTGGCAACGCATTTGGGATCACAGGATGTGGAAAGCCAGCTTCAAGCAATGCATGAGCGGTCAGTGACGCACAGAGGGTGCGGGGGGGGGGGGGGGGGTGTCGGGGTGGGGCTTGCACGAAATGGCCATCTCCTGGGTGTGGGCAGCTGGAGCATCCAGGCGCACTCTGCAGGAGGGGCTGGTCACACCTCGTGACTCACTAGACATGCTCTATCTGCAGGCTGGGCCAGGCCTACAGCTATCACATGGTGACTGCACAGCCAGAACCGTCCACCCAGGCCAGGGCAAGCAGGTGCCACAGAGGGGCCGTTTGGGGATGAACTACTGGGGACACCTGGACACTAGACCACAACACGACATCAACAGGGCCAGGCTATGGAAGGGAGCCTGAAGGGCGTGGACAGAGCCTGTGGCTGGCGGGGGGGGGGGGGGGGGGGGGGGGGCGCACCATGACAGGAGGGAGGACAACCACTACCCGCAGGAACGTGGGAGGAAAAGTGACCACTGGGGAGGGGCTGGGTCCCTCTTCTAGTGGGGTTAGCCCCGACCTGGCTGTGGAGGGCGACTGGACAGAGCCCTGGTCTGGCTGTCTCCTAGGAGGATCCCGAGACCCCAGACACTGCCCAGGACTGGACTGGCGCTTCTCAGGGCTTTAGGCCTGGGCCTGGCAAGTAAGGGCCTGGGCGGACTTGTGGGGAAACTCAGGCAGCCTGCAGGCCACCTCCTCTTTGGCCCAGGGGGCCAGGGAGCCTGTGCTGACCAAGCAGCCTCTGATCCAGGGCCGGGGTCTACTGGCCACTAGTAGGCAGGCACCTGATAGCCTTTGGGGCTGCTGTCCAGCGTCTCGGTGAAGGGCGGGCTCTGGTAAGTATCCGTGCCCTCCACACCGCTGCCCACCGGGTACCCGGGATAGGCCTGACCCGGACCCGCGCCCAGCTGCTCGGTGGCAAAAAGCGACATGTCGGTACCCAGGCGGAACCGCTGCAGGGCCTTCAGAGTGAGCGCCACCTGCGGGGGACGCGGGGTTAGGTGGGGCGGCCCCCTCCCCCGGCCCGCCCGCGCGCCGCCCCTCCACGCCGCCCCCCCCCAGCACTCACCCAGCTGAGGATGGAGAAGAAGCTGAAGGCGATGGCGGCGCGCGCAGCATCCCCCGCCTGCGTCGGGCCGGGGCCGGGCGCCGTGCGCTGCCATTGGTTGGTAAGGAAACAGAAGCCCACGAACCACAGGAAGGACCAGAGCCCTGCAGGTACCGGGCGGAGGGTCAGGGGGAGGCCACGCCACACGCCGCAGGACCCGCCCCAAGGAGAAGTCCCGCCGAGGCCCCGCCCACACCAGGCCCTCCTGCTAGAAGCCGCCCACCGCCCCGCCGAGGCCCCGCCCACCCGAGGAATAATTTTACCGCAGGCCCCGCCCACCCCGCTCTGGAGGGAGCGCCTCGGCGAGGCCCCGCCCTACTGAGGCCCCGCCCACAGCGGGCCCGGCCCAAGCGAGAAGCCGCCCGCCGCAGGCCCCGCCCATCCCGGAGAGGCCTCGCCCACACGAGCAGCCGCCCGCCGCAGGCCCCGCCCACCTGAGAAGCCCAGGTCCAGCAGCACCGCGCGGCGGCGGTCGCGTACGCTGCTGATCTGCTGGAAGCGCAGGTCCAGCAGCAGGAAGGCGGCGCAGGCCAGGAAGGCCCCGAGGCCCAACGCGACGCCGAAGCGGCAGGCGCCCGCGTTCCCGTTGAAGACGCAGCGCAGCTCGGGGCCGCTGTCGGCGTTCACGTAGCCTTCGTTGACTATGGGCCCGAAGACGGCGATGGAGAACACCTGGGGGCGGCGGGGCGCTCAGGCCGCGGGGAGGCCCGCTCCTTCCCCGCCCCCGGCCGAGGGGGCGTTGTCAGCCGGCACCACTCAGGGAGCATCTTCTGTGCCCAGAAAGGCCTCAAACTGCGGCCGCAGGGGCCACGGAGACAGCCCCACGCTGGAGCGCACGTCCCCTGAGCACCGCCAGGTGCAAACCCGAGTACTGAGCCAGGAGCAGCTCCCGAGCACTGCAGGTGTGGCTCCATAACCAAAAGACAAAAACCCTGCAGCTCTGGTCTGTTTTAGCTCTTAGAGCCTCCTCCCAAACCACGAAGCGCCACAGTTCGTTCCCCGATTTGGACGGGGACAGGGACCCCAACAGGTGACGTGCGTTTGAAGCTGGGGACTCTGCACTGCTTGGGCCAGGGAGAAGGGACAGGAGCGTCATTCTCCCGGCGGTGGCGCTGGGCATGTGGGGGCCTTGCAAATGGGGTGGAGCTGGTGAGCTGTGGGGGACAGGAGGATGGGGCTTCCCAATGCCCGTCAATGGTTCCACGTAACTACTTATTAACGTGGCCGCTGGTGTCTGGGAGCCAAAGGCAACATGTTGACCTCAGCATCCTGTGCGCAGGAGCTGGGAGTCAGGTCAGCTGTGGCCCGGGGTCCCTGCGAACCAGACGCTGGCCTTAGCAGCCCTTTTTCTAAGGCAAACCCTGTGGTTTCCACTTCTCTCCCGCCCCAGCTCAAAACTTCTAGGGGACATGGAGGCACACGGGAGGCCTATCTGTTCCAGAAGGCAGGGGTCCCGGTTCAGCCCTGGCACCACCCTGGTCCCCGTGAGTAAGCAGGGCTGCCAGCACCCCTCCCGTCTCCCGCCTGGGAGGTGGAGCAAGCAGCCTAGGGGGCGGGATGCCCCTGCCGGCAAAGCTGCCCTCAGTCCTGCCTCCCACACCACCTCCGGGAAGCGCTCCCCTCCTGCAGCGGCACACGGAGCAGTCTAGAAGCCCCGAGCAGGCAGGCCCGCTAGCTCCTGGCCCGGGCTCGCTCCCTGCGCTCGCCGCCAGAGAGATCCGGGAAAAGGCGGCTAGGGCTGCCAAGGGGCTTGAGGGGGACCCAAGGAGAATTGGGGATGGGGGCGGCCGGCGATGACCTTTCAAGGTCCCCGGCGGACGCCCTGGCCCCTCCCCCTCCAGCAGGTGGGCGCGCCCTGCCGGTGACGTCACCCAACCTGCGGCCGGCGGGGGAGGGGCCGCGAGGACGGGGACAGGGACGGGGATAGGGATGGGGATGGGGGCAGGGGCGGCGGGGTCGGGGGGGGGGGGGTTGGGTGGGGTGCGAGGCCGGTGGAGCCGGGCCCGGGGCCACTCACCCAGGACGCGACCCGCAGCAGGGTCTGGGGCCGCAGCGCAAAGCTCACGGGGTCCACGGCGGCTCCCGCGCGGCCCGCGCCGAACGAGGCTCCCTCCATGGTCAGCACCAGCGAGCCGCGCGCCCTCGGCGTCCTCTGTCCGTCGGTCCGTCCGGCCGGCCCCGCCTGAGGCTGCCCGCGGCTGCTGCCGATGCTGCAGCCGCCGCCGCCTCGCGGGAACGCGCGCCGGTACGGTGGGAGCGCGCGGGGCGGGGCGGGGCCGAGCCCGCGCCCCCCGCTGGGTCCACGCGCGGGGCTGGTGCCTCCGTCCGCCACGCCCACCTCCCGCTCCTTGACCGCCGCCTCCCCAGCAGCATGGGGCGAGGTCCCAGCGCCCCCCGACCGTCTCTGCTCATCCCAGCGGGCGCGGGCGGACCTGGGTTCCAGCCTCTGGGGGTGGCAACCGAGTCTGAGAGTCCCAGTGGCCCCCTACTCCAGGAGAGGGGAATTGGCCCTGGTGCGTGTGCCAGCGGTGGGTTCCTGCCATCCCCTGCCCTGGCTTCCTACTGCGCTGAACAGGCAGAGGTCAGAGGGAGCCCAGCTGGCTTGAGGGAGAGGTGAGGGGAGCATGGGAGGGTCAGTTGGGTCAGAGAAGCCTGCATTTGGGGGCCCAGTGCTGGGCTCGAGGCTCCGCCCGCAGGCCACGGCCTTCAGGAGGGAGTAAGGATGCGGATCCAGGCCCCTGAGGACTGTGACATGTCTCAGAGCCCCCAGATGTCACTCAGTACCTCTGGCCTCTCAGGAACTCTTCCAGCTACATCATGTCCCCATTTTTCTAAATTTGGGAGCCACACCCTCGGGTGCTGGCTGTCAGCAGTGTGAAAGCACCCTACCCACCTGTGCTGTCTCTGGCCCATCCTGTCTCCTTGTCTAAGTCCATATTGGCACCTAAAAAAGCAGCCCTTTGGCCGGAGAGAGTACAGTGGGTACAGTTTGCCTTGCAGGTGGACCACCCAGGTTCAATCCCTGACATCCCATATAGTCTCCCAGGCACTGCCAGGATTGATTTCTGAGTGCAGAGCCAGAAATAAGCCCTAAGCATTGCCAGGTATGACCCAAAAATCAAAACTCCCCCTCTCCCCAAGTCCCATCTCGGTCTCATCTCCCAAGAACACTTGAACCCAGGCCATCTCTCCACTTCCTTTGCTCCAAAGGCAGTTCAGACCTCCACCTGCCCCCTCCTGAACTTGAAGCCTAACTTCTTGGATCCTGCGTCTTAGCCTGGACACCATGGGAGCCTGGGAATTCAGCAGGAAGCTAGCTGTGAGGGCTGGAGTGTGGGCTTGGCAAGCATGAAGGTGGGTTTGTGTCGTTCTCTCCATCCCAGAAGCCAGAGGCCTCATTCCATGGCCAGGATCGTGACTCCTGGCAAGCACCTGTGGGACACCAAAACACTGGACTGTGGGTATGTCCAAGAGGGCATCCCTAGACGTGCTCGAGGACCACAGGCCTTAGCACCACACCCTGCTCTGCAGTGCCCAGGGAGCACCACTGCTGCCGCCAAGGTACAATCAGGTCATTGCCAAAATGACAAGAAGGGAAGTGGATGGCAGGAAATGACACTTTATTGGGAGGGTGGGGCTCAGGGGAAAGGAGTTGTCCAGCACCCTGTCTGCAGGGGCCCACCAGGTGACAGCAGCTTCACATCACAGGCAGGCACAGGGTGCTGCTGCCCCCTGGAGGTCAGGTGTGAGCAGGACAAGGCCCCTTCACATTTCTCTGGCTGTCTGCCTTTGGATGGTCCCTGCCCCATCCAGTCTCCCTCACTGGGTCCCCCCTCCCGCCCTGCTGAAGCAGCAGTTGGAGAGATGTCAGGTCCCACCAGTCTTTTCCCTGCCCTCCCAGTTATGGGGGGTCTGGAGGCTGGTGCCCTGGGACCCTGGCAAGCCCCTTTGCAGGCCCCCCTCTGCCATCTGTGCCCGTCCCTGAGGACTGGAGGGGCAGCCGACGGCCTGAGGTTCCTCAAGGCTTCCTAGGCCTTTTCTCAGATCCAGAATGAGAAAACGGTTCCAGGAGGCTGTGGACAGTCTGTGCAAAGAGGACATCACCTAAGTCCTGCCCAGCTGCCCTGCCCTGCAAGGGCAGAGGCCAGCCTCAGCCCCTGGCACGCAGCCCAGCCAGGCCTGTAGCCGTGTGCGTGGGGCGGAGGGCGAGCAGGACACCACAGCCTGAGTGGCAGGTGCAGCCCCTGGTCCCCGGGCCTGAACCCAGGGTGCTGGCTCTCACTGTGTCCGGGGGCGGCCGACTGACACAGGCTGGCTGTGGCTGAGTACTTTAATTAGCTCCCCACCCCAACCCGCCAGTGACGACGCCCCCTAGTCGCAGGAGCCGTCCTTCCAGCCGTCCCGCCAGCGCTCGTCCACCTGTGAGCAGTCGAAGTCTGGCTTGCCCAGCTTCCGGTTCACCTCGTTGTGCAGGCGGCACAGCCACTGCGTGAAGCGGGCCCGCGAGCGGGTGTCGGGCTGGTTCCTGTAAATCCTGGGGGGCGCAGAGAGGATGAGGAGGTGCCTCTGCCCCGCCAGCCGTGCCCGGGCCCTCCCCAGGAAGAGAGCTCGGAGCAGCTGCCCGCAGGCTCTGGCCAGGGAGGGGCCGGGCGGGAGGAGGTTTACAGCCTCGTTAATCGCAGGGCGCGCCCGGGGATCACCCGCAGCCCGGCCCGCGGGCGGCAGCGGCCGCAGCGGCCTGAGGCCCCACCCTGACGCCCACCGCCAGGCCCCCGCGGGCGGCCCACGTGCCGCCGCGCTCACCTCTTCCTGATGTCCTCCGCGCACTCGTCGCACGGGTAGAACTTGGAGAACAAGTGTATGAACTGGGCCATGTCCTGCTGCTGCTCGCGGGTGGGCGCCTCGGGATAGTAGGCGGCTAGCGTGTGCAGGACGGCCCAGCTGTGGCGGCCCAGCTCCTGGCGGTCCTCAGGGCAGTCGTCTCTGAGCGTGCTGTCGCGCTGCGGGGGGAGGCGCCACGTCACCGCGCGGCCCCGCGCCCGGCCCCGCGCCCCGCGCCCGCCCCGCGCCCACCTTGCGCTGCGTGCGCATCCACGTCTTGAAGTCGACGCAGGCCCGGCACGGCCGCCTCCGGGCGGCGTCCGGCGCGGCCGCGGGCTCGGGGGCGGCCGCCGCGCCCGGCTCTCGCCGGCCCGCGCCCCGGCCGCGCGCGTCCGTGTCCAGCTCGTCCGGGCCGTCGGGCCGCGCGCCGCCCGGCAGGAAGGAGAAGAGGCCGCCTCCGCCCGCGGGGCCCTGCCCGCCAGCCGCCATGCCGCAGTGCCAGCCGGGCCAGCGCGGCCTCCAGCTCGGCCTCCAGCTCGGCCTCCAGGCCAGCGCGCGCGCCGCCGCCAAGGCGCGGCTGCACGAGCCAGGGCGCGCGGGCGCGGGCGGGGAGGCGGGCGCGGGCGCGGGCGGGGAGGCGGGCGCGGGCGCGGGCGGGGGCGGGGGCGCGGGAGCGGGGTCCGCCCCGGAAGTCTGGCTGCGGGCAGCGCGGGCGCGGGCGCCGCTGCGGGTCCGCGTGCGGATCGGGCTGCGGGAGCGCGCGGCGGGCGCGGGCCGCTCCCGCTTACGCCAGTAGAAGAGGAGGGTGTGGTGGAAGCTGCGCCGCGGCCGGGCCGCGGCCGCGGGCTCGGGCTCGGGCTGGGGCCGGGGCTGCGCCCGTGCGGCCGCCCGCGCCGCCCCCATCGCTCCCCTGGCCTGTCCCCTGACCTGCACCCCGTCTGGCGCGACCGGGGCCGACTCTGAGCGCTCTGCCCCGCGCGCCCACCCGCCGCCAGTGTTGCCATGGCAACGCGCGCGCGGCCCTGAGCGCACAGAGGAGCCGGGTCCTGGCAACCGCTCCCAACGGCCGGACGGCGCGCGTCGACCCGGGCCTGCCGGGTGCCGGGGCAGGGCTCGTGCCCCCCACACCGACTGGCGATGGCAGAGGGACCCCGTGCCTCCTCCGAGGGCGGGGGCTTCACGGAGTGGCCCCTAGCCACGCGAAGACCGCACCGACCGCCTCACTGGGATTCCTCTTTGCCTTGTCACATTCAACACCACGCGCAGGATGGCTCCGGGTAGTGCTTGGGGACGCTCAGAGGGTGCGGAGGGTCGAGCCCAGTCTGGCCGCTGCAAGGCAAGCCGCTGTACTCTGACCCGGGAACTCCAGGGATTGGCTGGTCCGGCCGGGCACGGAGGCGGACCTCCAGGCCTAAGTTACAGCCTTATGTCTGAGGTCCTGGCGCCGAGTGCCAGTACCCTGCACCGAGAAGAGGGCAGGTGTCCCGGGGGCGGGCAGCAGGAAGTCTGAAGGCCAGGGTGTCATGACCGGGGAGTGGATCTCACGTGAGGAACATGTCGAGGCCGGGCAGGTGAGCACAGGGGCCACAGAAGGAAGTGAGTGGATCCAGGAATACTGGGTGTAGAACAGCACGCCCACCTGCCGAGTCTCCAGGAAGGTGGTCTCTGGCCTAGCCCAGGTGCAGCCACTGCAGCTGCCCACACTCCCCATAGGAGGCCCGGTACCAGTCTGTTGCCCACATCCAAACCAGGGAACCTGAGGGCTTCAAAGCACCAGGGACACACTACGGGCCCTGGGTGGGGGGGATGGTGCCCCAGAATAAAAGTGCTGTTGGGTTGGTTTGTGTGTGTGTGTGTGTACACCCAGCCTTCCCATGCCCCATCTCCAGCCTGGGGAAAGGATCTCTTCGATCCAAAGGTTAACCGTGCAGCCACTGTGAGAACCGAGTTCAGGGCACCCGAGGCCCTGACTGCAGTGCCTTGAGCTTGAGGTGCACGGGTCCTACCGCAACCCCAGGGGCCCACCCTATGCAAACCCAAAGCATGCTCTTTGCCCTTCATTCTTTTTATTTTCTGGGACCACAAAGTCAGTGCTTACGCCCGAGACTGCAGCCTGCAACGCGCCTGCCGTAGCCAAGGCCTGCCCACCTCTGTCGCCGTCCTCCCAATCCCTGCCTCAGTCTCTGTGGCTTCTGCTCCCAGCTGGTTGGTGGGTCTCAGAGTCTCTGGGCTGAGCACCTGATTGTGGGGGCCAACGCGGCACTCCAAGGGTTTCAAAGGCTTGCCCCAGGTGGGTTTCCAGCCCCTCCCCATGGCTCCTGCGCAGACCAGCAATGGCCAGTCCCTGACACCCAACATCTGCATACATGGCGGCCCTGGTGCGCACCAAGCAGCCTCAGGTCAGCACTGAGGGCAAGTCGTGTCCCTGCATGTCCTCAAGAGTTCCCCACCTCACACCTGTGCTCCAGCAAATCCCTGCGGAGCCCCCCAGACGCCCCCCACGGCCTTCCCTCGCTCCCAGGAGGGCTTGCTGCAAGTCTGACGCCCTGTTGCTGGCTTGTGGGGGCCGCACGGGCTCCCGCCTGGTACATCTGTCTGCTGGATGCCTCGTGATCCTGGACGCGGCTATGCCACCCAGCGGGTGCGGCCCACTGGCGAGCTGAAGCGGGATGCAGGCACCTCCTAGCCTGTGGCAAACGAGCAGCAGACAGCACCTCTCCAGCCCCTGCCTGGAAGAGGTGGCTGTGGGCAGGGCTGAAACGGGGCAGCCCCCAAGGGGCACGAAGGGGCACGGGTAGGAGACAGCCCGCCCCCCCCTCCCCAACCAGAGCAAATCTGGACCACGGAGTGCGGGAGGCAGCAGCGCCCCACCCGGAGCTTTAATGGGCCCGGTGCCAGCACACAGGGGTGGCCCACCTCTGCAGTGACCCCTGGCAAGGCCCGTGTCTGCGCCTCAGAGGCTCGGACCAGCAGGGAGCGGGGCCAGCTTCATGTTGCGCCACAGGAAGTCCAGGAAGGTGGCGGCCTGCAGTGTCCGGCTGAGCCGCTGGAAGTGGCGCTCTGCGGGGACAGTGGCGAGTCAGCCATGCCCGGAGCTCGCGGGCTGTCCCCTCCCCGCCTGCCCGCCCGCAGGTACCTGTGTAGGGCAGCAGCGCCTCCAGTGAGGCCCGCACGCCATCGTAGGCCAGCAGCTCCTCGGGGTGCTCGTGCCGCAGCAGGGTGCCCAGCACGGCCTGGGCCTCATGGCAGTGCCGCGCATTGGTGTTCCACGTGACGCAGAAGCGCAGCAGGGCCTCTGCGAGCAGTGGACAAGGTCAGCCCCGTCGGCCTGGCCCCGCTGGCCCCGCAGAGCCCGGGCCCTTCTAACCTTTCTGGTCCCGCCGCAGTTGGAGCACGGTGGCCTCCAGCTTCTCATTGGCCTCGGGGTCCCGCCGGATGGCTGCGGGGGAGACACGGCTGAGCCGGGGGCAGGTGCGGAGGGAGCCTGGGGAGCCCCGCCTGGCCCTGCCACTGACCCTGTATCACAGTCAGCACGGTGTGGGGTCGGTCCAGGGAGATGGCCAGGCCCAGCGCCCGCAGAAAGCGTCGCTCGTGGAGCAGGTTGTCCAGCTCCTGCTGCCTGTGGAGGATTCAGGGGCTGCTGTGTGCCCACCTCACCCCGACACGGAGGGCCACCCCCTGCCAGGGACTCACCTGAGCAGCTGCTCTTCACGCGCGGCCTGCTCCTGGGCCTGCTCCTCCTCGGTCACATCCTGGGGCCACATGGGGGGTGGGTGTCACACCCACGCCCTGAGGCTGTTCCCCCCTCCACCCCCCGCGCTAGCCCACCTTCCAGAGGATGATGCAGGAGTCACTGGCGCCTGTGAGGGCGCGGTCGTCCAGCCGGCTGCAGTGGAGACCCCAGACCTTGTCCTCGTGGGCGTCCAGCGTGCGCACACACTCATTGTTCTTGATGGTCCATAGCTTCAAGAGTCCGTCGGAGCCGCTGGGCGAAGGGTGAGGGGCGAGTCAGTGCCAGCATCCCCCTTCAGCTCACCCCTACCAGATCCCCATGGCCCCCTTGCCTCTCACCTGGACAGCAGCTGCGTGCCACGGCTCACAAAGGTCACCCTCAGCACAGAGGCATCGTGGCCCTCAAAGGTCTGTGCAGGCCAGGTCAGGCATGAGGCCGGGAGGGCGTGGGGGCACAGGGGCACGGGGCCAGGGGGCGGCGGGGAGGTCGGGAGGGCATGGGGGCCAACCCCCCAAATGAGGGCACCATACCTTCAGGCAGCTGAAGTCCTGCAGTGCCCACAGTTTCACGGTGCCGTCAGCCGAGGCTGTAGCCAGCACCTGGTCCATGGGGGAGAACTGGACACACCAGAGGCCCCGCCGGTGGCCCGAGAAGACTCCCAGTAACTGGCACTGCGGCAGGGCCCAGAGCCGGGCCGTGCGGTCCTGGGAGCCCGTGGCCAACAGCTTGTCGTTGGGGGCCACGGCCACACTGTTGATGTCCTGCAGTGAGAGGTGCAGCTGAGGCCCTGCCCCCGCTGCCCACCCTGCCCCACCCACCTAGACCATGCCACCTAGACCATGCTGACCTTGGCGTGGCAGCGCTGTGTGGCCTGGGCCTGCAGCGGGATGGGGCTGCCCTCCTTGGCTGTACCCCGGGACAGCAGGGCTTCCGGGAGGGGCCAGAGCTTCACGGTGCAGTCCTGGCTGCCCGTCACCAAGAAGGACTCCTTCAGCCTGAGGTCCAGGTGGGGAAGAGGCCAGCTGAGCCCCAGCCAGTTGGCCATGCTCCAACCGGCCACTCGCTCTCACCCTCCACACCCAAGGCTGCCTCTTGGGCCCCCCTAGGGCTGCCTCAGTACCTGGAGCAGCAGATGGTGCCCACGCTGTGCGTGTGCCCAGAGCCCTGTGCCACACAGGCCACGCGGCCGGCTCTGTCCATCCTCCAGACACGGATACTCTGATCCTGCAGACAGATGGGGGTGAGGCAGGGCCGGCCCAGGCACCCCCCTCCACACACACACACACCCCTCCTGGGCCTCACCTTGGCACAGCTGGCAAAGAGCCACCCCTTCCGGAACACATCCACAGCCAGCACGATGTCTGCGGGTGGGGAGAGTCAGGCTGGGAGTGGGGGTGGGGCGGGTCCTGGCGGGTGGGGCGGGGGCTCACCCGTGTGGCCGTGTAGGATCTGGCAGGCCGAGGTCCGCAGCTCGAACACCTTGAGGCAGGGGCTGTTGGAGGCCACCACGATGTGAGTGTCCTCGGGCCCCAGGAAGCGCACGTCCAGCACCTCCTCATTGTAGCCAGCGAACTGGGGGCGGAAATGGGGCCCATGAGGGGAGGGCACATGGGGTGGCCGTAGGCAGGGCCAGGTGAGGGAAGGGCGGGCGCACCTGCTTCTGCAGTCTCAGGGACCCGGCCTCGTAGAGCAGCAGGTCGTGGTCGGCAGTGGCGCCCAGCAGCAGGCCCGCGGCAGGGGCCAGGACGCAGTGAGTCAGCACCTGCCCAGGGCCCGCGGCCCGGACCTGCGTGTGCACACACCGCCCAGACGCCGCCTCCCACACGCGCAACACGCCTGTGGGGACAGGGGCCGCTGAGACCAGCGTCCACGGCTCCCTCCCCTGCCCACCGTCCGCCCTCGCCCCACGCACCTTGGTCACCCGCGGTCAAGAAGTGCAGGCCGGTGGACGTCACGCCCAGCTCCGGGGCCGGCCCGTCCGGCAGCAGCACAGCTGCCTCCACAGTCTGAAAAAGGGCAGGTCAGGGGCAGCAGCCCGGCCCCCCCCCCACACCCTGGGCCCCCCCAAAACCCGCACAGCCCCACCTCAAACACAGGCACGGTCCTGGTGGCCTGGTAGCTCCGCAGGTCCCACACGACACAGATTTTGTCACGGCCTGAGCTGGGGGCACAGTTCGGTCAGTCCTGTCAGTCCCCAGCCCGGCTGCGCCCCGCCCTCCCGGGAGCCTGTGTCTGACCTGAGCACGCTGTGGCCATCGGCACTGAAGCTCAGGGAGGTGACGGCACTGTAGTGGGCGGAGAGCGTGGCCAGGCAAGCGCGGCCCTGCAGGCACCACACGCGGATGGTGGCGTCGGCGGCCGAGGAGAGGAGCAGCAGGCGCGTGGGGTCTGGGTGGAAGGCCACCAGGCTGCAGGGGGAGCGGGGTGAGCCAGGTCCAGGGGACCCCGCCCCGCCGCCCGGCCCCCCTACTCACTGCACCACGCCAGGGGAACCCCGAAAGTGATGTGTTCCGTATTGCCAGACGACGTCCCAGACCCTCACGGCCCCGTCACAGCCACCTGGGGGTGCTTTGGGTGAGCCGGAAGCCCCGTGCCAGGGCCCACCAGCCCGCCCGACCCACCCTCCTGGTCAGCAGTACCTGTGGCCAGCAGTGTGGAGGTGGGGTCGAAGGCCATGCTGGCCACAGGGGCGGTGTGCAGGGCCTTCCACAAGCGGACCACTCTGCCCTCTCGCCACGCCCACTGGGCCAGCAGCAGTGCTCGGCTGGCCGTCACCAGCACCTGGGGTGGGGTCACAACTCAGCAAAGGGGGGCAGCCCCTTCCCACCTCCCATCCCAGTCTCCTCGAGTCCACACTGCACGGACCTGATCATCGGGGCTGAGGTCAAAGGCGGTAATGTCCTCCTGGTCCTCCTGTGGGAAAGAGCACAGAGTGTGGGCGCCCTGGCCACTCGCCCACCCACACGCTAGGTGCAAGAGGCCAGAGTGAGCGCCGGCCACCCGTCCCCTGCCCGCCCGCCGGCCGCTCCGCACCTGCTCCAGCCCCCGCAGCACGGCCCCCGAGGCCACGTCCAGGACGTTGACTCTTGTCCCGCAGACGCAGAACAGGTGCTGCCCCGTCCCGTCCAGCTGGCAAGAGGGGGGGTCTCAGCCTCTGCGGCAGCTGGGCGTCCCCACTCCGGCCCCGGCCCCGGCCCCGGCGGTACCTGCACCTTCCCGCCCTTGTAGAAAGGCTCGATCTTGCGCTCCACCGCGTAGCTGGGGGGAGAGCAGACGGGGTCGCAGCCGCCCGGGAGCTGCCCTCTCGCCTCCACGTGCAGCCCCCTGCCCGGTGACCCCCGCGGACACCCAAAGACCCTCCCACGCGGCCGCGTCGACTGACTCACTTGGCCTTGAAGCGGCCCGCGCCGGCCCCCGGCTCGGCCATACCGCCGCCGCCGCCTCGTGAGAACCGCCGTGCGCCCCGCACTTCCGTCGCGCGACGATGACGCCACTGCTCCGTGACGTCATCGCCGCGCGCGCCTTGGCTGGAGCGCAGCCGTCCCGGGTTCGATCCCCGGCACCCCGTATGGTCCCTGAGCTCCGCTAGCGGTGATCCCCGAGTGCAGAGCCAGGAGTCAGCCCTGAGCATCGCCAAGTGTGCCCCCAGGACCCCCCCAAAAAGGCTGGGAGGCCGTGACGAAGGCATTCGGCGTTGCGGCTCCGGCTCCGGGTCAGAGGTGGCCAAGTAAACCTGCTTTTTATGTCTCGTCTTTGGGTTCTGGCCACACCCGGCGGCGTTCAGGGGCTTCTCCTGGTCCTGTGCTATTAGGGAACCGTTTGGTGCTAGGGGTCAAACTCAGGCATGAGGCCAAAGAAGCGTTGGGCTCGGCCCGCAACTCTCCCGGAATCAGCGTTAGGCTTAACGCTGGCTCCTGCCTCCGAATCGCGAAGGGAGCAGCCTTGGCGGGGCGCCGGTTCTGATAAACACGCAGATACACTGAATCAGGTAACATCTGATGTTTATTGGGCAGTACACCGCGTGCCCGGCGCTCTTCCAGAAATGGGTCAGACATCAGCGACTGGACAAAGTGGGCACGGTCAGGAATGACCTCGGGGGCAGGGGACTTGAAGAACAGCTACTCAACTGGGGTGGGTGCTCAGGGCTGCCCGCCAGGCCCTGAGCTTCCACCCCCTCCCCAGCTCCTGTGGGCACCCGCTCCCCTCTGTCTTCTGCCTCGAAGTGGACGGGTCAGCGGATATGACAAGGACGAAGGCCTAAAGGTCTATGTGGCAGACAGGGCCCTGGGCTCCGCATTTATTTACCCCTCTATGCGCAAGGAACCTGAGCCCTGGGTCCCCACCTCAGCCTCGGGGCTGCCTTCAGCCGCGGTCACAGCCTCTGGTGGGACCTCCCCACCCACCACCTGGGCATCCTCCTCCAGGAATTCCCCCAGCTGGGCCAGCTGTCGCCGCAGGAGGCCGGTGGCGTGGTGCATCTTGCGCGTGTGGCGTGCCAGGTAGAGCAACAGTCTGCGGCTGCGCTCCTGGCTCCGGCTCCACGCCTCACGCAGATCCCGGTAGCAGTTGTGGCGCCCACGCTCAGCTGGGCCCAGCATGGCTCCGCAGCCCAGGGGGCAGCGCTGCTGGGCCGTGAGCGGGCAGCTCTGCCTGTGCTCCACCAGGGCCCCGCGTGGCACCCGTGCGGCGCAGCCCTCGTTGGGGCAGGCCATCAGCTCGAAAGGGCATGAGTCCTGGTGTCCCCGGCGGTGGGCCAGAGGGCAGGTGACCAAGCAGCCGGCCTCAGCGTTCCTGCACTGGGGGAGTAGGAGAGCACCGTGTGGGCCAGGTGGGGTGGGCACTGCCCGTTAACTGCCAGCTTGGTGCCACCTGGGCAGCCCCGGGGCACAGTGGTGGTGAGGGATTGCTGGGAAAATGCTTGGGAGTGGCAGGAACCATTAATGCCAGAGGGACCAGGTTCTGGAGAACAAAGGTGTGGTCAGATTGTTGAGCTATGGCAGGGAGCCCCGTGCAGCCGCACGGCAAGCTGTGGGCCAAGCGGCCAGGCCTGGCGTCCTTGCCGTGGGGCTGAGCTACCTTGACCTCCAGGCGGCCTATGGTCTTCCGGAGTCTGTGCACATGGACCATCTTTCTCTGCTTCACCTCCTCCCTGCAGCAGGGACACGTCTTCTGCCTAGGAGAGTCGGGGTGTGGGACACAAGCTCTCCATCCAGCTTGGGGGCCTGAGCGCTTCGGAGACAGCCTCATGTCACAGCGAGAGGCAGCCCACACTATCTTAGGGTCCCAGGCCTGGCTCCTAGACCCCGCACTGCCCTCCTGGGGTTGCACACCTGGCCAGCCAGCGGACGATGCACTTCTTGCAGAAGACATGGCCGCAGGGCAGCCTCACGGGCCTCTTGAGAACCCCATGGCAGACGGAGCACAGGAAGTTGTAGTCAGGGGGGCTGGCGAAGAGGTTGAGATCGTACCCGCCACTCTGCAAGGCAACTAACTGGATTAGAACCGACTCCACACTCAGCCTGGACCAGCTCCAGGGGGGTTGGGGATGGGGAAGTGGACACCCCGAGCCCAGGTGGGGGCCTGCGCCAGTACCCACTCTGAAGACCAACCCATCCTCTGAAGCCTCCAGCAGCCCCACAAGGACCTTCCCCTGTCTGGGGCCTGCCCACCCTTGGCCAGTGATGGGCTCTGCCCTTCTCCACTGGCTACCCAGAGTGGGCCAGGCCAAGGCTGATGGCTCACCATGCTCCAGATCTGGGGGGCAGCTCCACTGAGCTTAAGGGCAGGGGCGGCTCCATTTCACAGCCTGGGGCAGCTGACCTCACAGTGGCATTGTGTGGCCCCAGCCAACCACAGTCGTGGTCAGGCCCCTGGCACCGCTGGCTCTTGCTATCTCCCCTTAGAGGGCAGGACCGCCAAACAACAGGCCCCAGAAGCCCTGCCTCAGGGGCGATGGCCACTGATCTCCCAAGCACAAAAGCACGGAAGGGAGGCTCTGGTGGGCAGCCAGGTGGAGGGCCGTCCACAGTCTAGGGAAAAAGGGAAGGATACGACGCTGCCCACATGCGAGGCCGGGGTTAACCACTCTCCAGCCCCACCCTCGGGTGTCCCCCGGCGCACCAGTCACAGGGCACCCACATTCTAACCCGGGAGAAAGCAAGGCGGGAAGACTAAGAAACGCGCAAGTTCAGCACCAGCAAGTTTATTGAAAATGGGGGGCGGGCCCCTCCCCCGCCCCTGCTGCGCGGCGCTGGTGGCGGCTCTCGGGGTCCGACGGTCCGAGGATCCGAGGTTCCTGTGGGCAGAAGGCGGGCGGGTGAGCGGGGGCTGGGGGTTGCGCCGCCGGGCGGGGGCGGAGAGTCGGGGCTCCGGGGGTCGAGCCACCGGCGGGGGAGGGCGCGGAGGGTCACGCAGGGTGCTGTCGGGGCCTGGGTTTCACCTCCCCACACCGAAAGTGGGCGGTGAGCTGAAGCCCCAGTGCTCTGGGCGCCGAATCTCACCCGTGGCCACGGGCGAGGCCGCGGGTGACTTTCAGCGGGCGCCGTGGAGCCGAAAGCAGCCTTACCTGCAGCCCGAGAGGCGGCAGAGCCGGCCACGCGGCCATTTATAGCGACTTCCGGGACCCGTCGCTGCAGGAACCGACGCGCAGGCGCACGCCGAGGCCGCCAGCCAATCACAGGCTGTCTCCGGGTTCCGTGGCCCCCGCGGCGGAGGCGTCGAGATCTCGCGGCATTTGCAAGACTATAAAAGGCCTCTCTCGCGAACCCTCTCTCTTCTTCTCCACGAAAACACGTGAGTGCTGCTGCGGTGCTTTCGGCTGCGCGCGGCCCGGGGCGGGAATCCGCCGACATCCGCGCCTGTGGGAGGGTCCGGGCACTGTCGGCCGCAGGGTCCACTCAGGGGCCGTCTCTTGTCTCTCTAGCAAATGGCGGATGACGCCGGTGCTGCGGGAGGGCCCGGAGGCCCGGGGGGCCCCGGCATGGGAAATCGCGGCGGTTTCCGCGGAGGTTTCGGCAGCGGCCTGCGGGGGCGTGGCCGCGGCCGTGGACGTGGTCGCGGGCGCGGCCGCGGGGCCCGTGGAGGAAAGGCCGAGGACAAGGAGGTAAGTGGCGGCGCCGGTGAGCGCGCGGGCAGGGATTAGCAGGCCGGCCGCCCGCCCACCCGCCCGCCGTGTCTCCCCAGTGGATCCCCGTCACCAAGCTGGGCCGCCTAGTCAAGGACATGAAGATCAAGTCGCTGGAGGAGATATATCTCTTCTCGCTGCCCATCAAGGAGTCGGAGATCATCGACTTCTTCCTGGGCCCGGCGCTCAAAGACGAGGTGTTGAAGATCATGCCGGTGCAGAAGCAGACGCGCGCCGGCCAGCGCACTCGCTTTAAGGTGCGGCCCAAGGGTCCGGGGGGTGGGGGGGATTCTCCCAGCTCTGCGTGGTCGCGCTTGCTGCTCCGCGCGCGGCCTTCGTCATCGGGAGATACAGTAAGGGGACCCCGAGGCCCGGGCCGGCCGCCCCGTGGCCGCCTCTCCCTCGGGGGCCCGACAGCCACCGTCCGGAGTGGTTGGGTCATCGGGCGGGCGCGAGTCACCCCTTGTCTCAACAGGCCTTCGTCGCCATCGGGGACTATAACGGACACGTGGGTCTGGGGGTGAAGTGCTCCAAGGAGGTGGCCACTGCCATTCGGGGGGCCATCATCCTGGCCAAGCTCTCCATCGTGCCCGTGCGGCGAGGCTACTGGGGGAACAAGATTGGCAAACCCCACACCGTCCCTTGCAAGGTTAGCAAGGCTGGGCAGGTGTAGGCGGGGGCGGGATGGAGCTGAGCTCCCACCCAGTGTCCTCACCCCTACTGCCCCCTTCCAGGTGACAGGCCGCTGTGGGTCAGTGCTGGTGCGCCTCATCCCTGCGCCCAGGGGCACTGGCATCGTGTCCGCCCCAGTGCCCAAGAAGTTGCTGATGATGGCTGGGATTGACGACTGCTACACCTCAGCCAGGGGCTGCACTGCCACCCTGGGCAACTTTGGTGAGTGACACGTGGCCTCAGCTGCGGTTGACCCCCTCCCCTGCGTGCTTGGCCTGACCTCTCCTCTTTGCAGCCAAGGCCACGTTTGATGCCATCTCCAAGACCTACAGCTATCTGACTCCAGACCTCTGGAAGGAGACCGTATTCACCAAGTCCCCGTATCAGGTACTGGCAGCCCCACACCCCAGGCGTCTCCCTTGGGTGGACATCTGCCCTGCTAACATCTTGTCTCCTGCAGGAATTCACGGACCACCTGGTGAAGACCCATACCAGAGTCTCTGTGCAGAGGACCCAGGCTCCAGCAGTGGCCACCACATAAGCTTTTAAATAAAGCCAAATTGACAAAGTTGACACTGCCTGTGTTTTTATTTCTCCTGGAGACTAAAAGTTTCATTCTGTTTATTGGTCATAATAAGAGAGGCAGGCAGGTGCTCAGGCTGCAGCAGCCTCCTTAGCTGCTTTCCTCTCCGCCAGCATCCGTTCCTTCTGCTTGGCCAGGCACTTCCTGGCCGAGTAGTGGGCCCCCAGATCATGATCTGTCAAGAGAAAAACAAGCACAAGCTCTAGCCACACCCGGCCAAAGCCGATGGGTAGGGTGCAGGGTGGGCTTACTCACAGCGGTCCTGGTAGGCCTTGGCCACTTGGGTGAACTGCTCCAGCTCCTTGGCACAGTTCTGCCTGTAGCTCTCCCCCTCCCTTTGCTGGCAGGCCTTCATCCTTTCCTGGATTATATTGACAATCTCCTGATCCACTTTGCTTAAAAGGAAAGAACAGTAGGTGGTCATCAACGATATGAGACCACCTCCCGACCTATGGGGGTCTGAAAAGGTGGCGGGGACTTACTAATCCCGTCTCCACTGCATTTCTGCCTCGAACATGCAGAGGATGTCCTTCTCTGCACACTCGGTGATGTCAGGCACGCGCCGGAACTGCCGGTGGTAGTAGTAGTACCTGTTCTTCGCATGCTGCCGCTCAATGAACTCTGCAAACAGAGCCGCTCGAATGTGGGGCGCCCCAGGGGAGGGTGGGCAGGGTCCCCACTGGAGCCTTGTTCCTGATGTGCTTCTCAGGGTGGCCCACGGGGCTGACCACCTGCAGAGTCCTGACCCTTGCTCTGCGCGGCCACCCTGATGAGGGCTCCGGGGTCCTGCACTTCGATCCCCCTAGACACATCCCAGCAGGGAGACCACATCGACGTCCCCAACGGTGCGTTCCAAGAAACCCCTGCAGACAGTGGCCCCGAAGCAATGGCCGGGCTGCCGCGCCTGACCAGGCCCTGCGGTCCCGCAGCCTGGCTAAGCACCCAAAGCCGGCGCTGTTGCCGGAACTGCGGGCAGAGGCGGGGACGGGGCGCCCCGGAGGCGCGGATATATGGTCACGGCGGGGTGGGGGCGGGGAGAACGCGCGGGGGGCCCGGGGGTCCGGACACACCACGGCAGGCCCCACACGGCCACCCTTCACGCCCGGGGCCGGGGGTCGCCGCGAGCCCCGGGGGGGCGTACCTCTCACGAGGGTCACGGGCCGGTCCACGAGAAAGTCGAAAGCCTTGGTCAAGTAGGTGATGGGGTTGGGCAGCGCGGTCTGCGGCGCAGGCGCCGGCGTGCGGCGCGGCGGCTCGGGGTACACGTCCTTGTCCCACTTGTCCGGCATGTTGGCGGCGCGCTGCGGACTCGGCGGCCAAATGCTTGCCCGGTCCGGTCGCTGCCCGGGAGCTGTGGCCTGGCTCGCCCGCGCAGAGGACGCCCTTAGGCCGCCGCGCGTGCGCAGGACAGCCGCCGCCGCGGGGTACTGCGGGGCTTGTAGTTCGGCCGCCTCCGCGGAGCATCATGGGGCTTGTAGTTCGGCCGCCTCCGCGAAGCATCATGGGGCTTGTAGTTCGGCCGACCGGGTGACTGCTGGGATAGAATCCTGGTGCGGGTAAAACCCTGTTTGAGACTATGACCTCCTCCCTCGGTCTCGCGTCCTTGGAAGCCTGCCCGGCGCTAGCGGCAGAACTCTAGCCCGCAGTGCAGGAATCCGAGAGCCCTGCGGACAGCCTCAGGAGACTGACACAGAAAGACGTGACTTTCCATTTGGTCCCCGCCTTGCACACAAGTGACCCGGCATTCCATATGATTCCCCCCAAGTACTGCTGGGAGTAATTCCTAATGAAGAGCCTCAGCCTCGGGTGTGGCCTAAAAATAAAAACAAATAAACAAAAAAAGGGCCGGAGCAATAGCACAGCAGGTAGGGCGTTTGCCTTGCACGCGGCCAACCTGGGTTCGATCCCCGGCATCCCATATGGTCCCCAAGCACCGCCAAGAGTAATTCCTGAGTACAGAGCTAGGAATAACCCCTGAGCATCGCTGGGTGTGACCCAAAAAGAAAAAAAAAAAGAAGCTCTGGGACTGACCAATCTCCAAGCAAATGTGTGTATTAGCCCCAAACCCAGAAACAAATAACAGGGTTGAGAAGGGCACTTTGTGCACCAAGAACCATGCTGGTGCACGAAGTTCTGCCCTCTGAGTTCCAAAGGGGCCGTTGGCCACTCCCGGCCACAGCACGGCCACCTGCAAGTACGCGGGAGTCAAGGGGGCAGTCCCTGGAGGATGGGCCCACGCTCAGCAACATGCCCTGGGTGCAGTGAGTGTCACGGTGACCCAGATGAGCCCTGTCTAGCATGGACACAGAGCAGGTCAGGGACCCCCATGGACATGTACCCCGTATAAGACTATAATTGCCAGAGTCACCCCTGAGCACCATAATCAGGCAGCTGTTTACGGTCACGGCGCCGCCAACATGCCGGACAAGTGGGACAAGGACGTGTACCCCGAGCCGCCGCGCCGCACGCCGGCGCCTGCGCCGCAGACCGCGCTGCCCAACCCCATCACCTACTTGACCAAGGCCTTCGACTTTCTCGTGGACCGGCCCGTGACCCTCGTGAGAGGTACGCCCCCCCGGGGCCCGCGGCGACCCCCGGCCCCGGGCGTGAAGGGTGGCCGTGTGGGGCCTGCCGTGGTGTGTCCGGACCCCCGGGCCCCCCTTGGGGTCAAAGGGAGATTCTTGCCACCGTTGTTCAAACCTGAAGCCCCAAATTCAAGTTCCTAAGAACCCTTCCCCTGTTAGAGTTAGGCCCTGGGTATCGTCAGGGCCCCACAACTCTTGGGCCCAGGTTCATAGCCCTCAAGACAGGAGAGAAATGTCCTCGATGCTGTCCCAGCCAATAGAATAGGCCAAAATCTCCCTGTAATTAGAGAAAATTCCCCACGAGGTGAGGGATTTACCCTCTGACCTGGGAGGGACACAGCAGACATCAAATGACAAGAGCACACACACATCAACACATTTCGACACAGGCATATATGTATACACAGGCATGCTGACATGCAGACATAGATATGCACACATGCACACACAGGCATACACAGACACAAGCATGGAGACATAGGCATGCATACATGCATACACAAGCATGTGGACATAGGCATGCGCACACATAGACACAGGCATACACACACAGATAGGCATGCACTCAACAGACACAGGCATGTACACACGCAGATACAGCAATGCACACACACAGACACAGGCGTGCACACACACAGACACAGGCATGCACACATGCAGACAGGCATGCACACATACAGATACAGGCATGCACACACGCAGACACAGGCATGTGCACATGCAGACACAGGCATGCACACCCACAGACATAGGCATGCACATACTCAGACACAGGCACATACACACGCAGACAGGCATGCATGTACACAGACACAGGTATGCACACATGCAGACAGGTATACACATGCAGACACAGGCATTCACACACGCAGGCAGGCAGGCAGGCACACAGACACAGGCACGCACATACGCAGACAGGCATACACACGTGCCAATAGGCATGCACACACACAGACACAGGCGTGCACACACAGACACAGGCATGCACACACACAGGCATGCACACACAGGCATGCACACATGCAGACACAGGCATGCATCCCCCACTCCCCCACCCCTCCTACACACAGCCCCATGCTCCTGGCCCAGGGCTGTGCCCACGAGGTGACTGGGCCTCCTTCCTGCCAGGTCTAAATCTGGGCCCTGGCTGCTGCGCACTGGCGGGGCCATTCTGTGTGTGTGGCGGCTGGCAGGGAAGACCCTTTCCTTCTCTCTGCGCTGTCATGGTCAGTGGGTTGGGGCCGGAGTGGGTGCTTTCTGGGGCGCAGGTGGGCTCCCCAGTGGGAATGCCTGGGGCCTCTGGGGGGTGGGGCAGGGCCAGGGACTGCAGGGCTCGGGTGGAGGAGGGGGACATGGACATGGGGGAGTGGGTTCTGTTGCACCCCAGGACACGTCCCTCACAGGGGTCCAGGGGCCTCAGCTCACTCCTGGGGGCTGGGCTCCGGGACCGCCCCTGCCCCAGCTCTGCCTCCCACCTCCAGTCCCACCGGAAGTTCTCAGCCCCTCGGCATGGGCACCTGGGCTTTCTGCCCCACAAGCGGAGTCGCCGGCATCGGGGCAAGGTGAAGACGTGGCCACGGGACGACCCCAGCCGGCCGGTGCACCTGACCGCCTTCCTGGGCTACAAGGCGGGCATGACACACACGCTGCGGGAGGTGCACCGGCCGGGCCTCAGTGAGTGCCAGGTGCAGGCCAAAAGGGTGCGGGCTGGGCGGGTTCTCGGAGCCGCAGCTCGGGAGGGCAAGAGGCCACCTGCAAGGGAGCTGCTGGAATTCTGACCCTCGAGGGTGAGCCCCGTTTACCCTCCAGACAGGCTTTGTCATGACACCCGGACAGGCTTTGTCATGGCACCTGGTTTTCAGATGAGGAAACTGAGGCACAGCAGTTCAGAAACATGCTGGTTGCCCAGAGAGGAGGGGGAGGGTTGGGCAGTGCATGTGCCCCGGGCAGACAGGACTTAACAGGCTGGGCCTCAGGCAGGAGACCAGGGTCCGTCCCCCCAGCACCACACGGCTCCCTGAGCACTGCCGGAAGTGACCCCGAAGCTCTGAGCCAGGAGGAGCCCCTAAAGCACCACTAGGTGTAGTACAGACACACACATGCACATACACACATATACACATACACACATACACCACACACATAAACACATATACACACATATACACATACTTACACACATGCAAATACACACATGTACACATACATATACACATATACACACATGCACATACACACATATACTCATATACATATACATACACACGCATACACACACATACACACAAATAACCCCAAACCCAAAGATAAAACAAAAGGTGGCTGCTACAATGCACTTTTTTGTTTGTTGGTTTGGTTTTCTTTTTGCTTTTTTGGGCCACACCTGGTGATGCTCAGGGCTCACTCCTGGCTCTACACTCAGGAATCACGCCTGGCAGTGCCTCAGAGACCATATGGGGTGCAGGGAACTAATCTGGGTTGGCAGCGTGCAAGAGTAACGCCTACCCCCCCCCCCCACACACACACACACTGTCCTATTGCTCCAGCCCCAATGCAGTTTTATTTCCGGGTTGCTGAAGATGGGTTCTAGGGCCGGGGGTCACTGAGGAGGTGCTGGGGACGCTGATCAGCCCTCAAGCCGTCACTCTGCCCCCCACATCTTTTCTGTGCACCCCAACTCCCCGTGAGGGCTGTGATACACAGCGCCACCCGGGGCTGTGACACGGCCCTGGTCCCGCCAGCCCAGCCTGCTGCCCTGGGTCACCGTGTGTGTCCCTGCTCCCACCGTCCGCCCTGACAGCCCCTCACCTCCACCAAGGCCCCAAACCCCGGCTTCAGAGGGGGCATTTTGAGCTGTGCTGGTTGAAGGAGGCCCCTGTTGGCCTGGGGCGCTTGGCCATCCGGTCCCCAGGGCTTCTCAGACAGCTGGGGTGACCCAGGACAGGCTGGCCCGGCTGCCAGGACTCTCACAGGGGAAGAGGCAGAGTGGCAGCTGCTCTGGGCAAGGGCAGGAGGGACTGGGCGGAGGGGGCTCACCCCTCGCAGGGTCAAACTTGTTCAGTGTGCTCTCTGGTGTCACCCAGAAATTTCCAAGCGGGAGGAGGTGGAGGCGGTAACGATTGTGGAGACTCCGCCGCTGGTGGTGGTGGGTGTGGTGGGCTACGTGGCCACCCCCCGTGGCCTGCGGAGCTTCAAGACCATCTTTGCAGAGCACCTGAGTGATGAGTGCCGGCGACGCTTCTACAAGGACTGGTGAGGGGGGCAGGGGGAGAGGAAGCGAGGAGGGAAGAGGCAGCAGATGTTCTCCTCAGGGGTCTGGGGAGAAAGTCAGGGTGAAGGCAGCAGTGACTCGGGCTCCCCAAGCCTGGGGGAGAAAGGCCACTCCCAGGCTTGGGGCAGGAACCCCTGCTGCACCCGGGGCCGCCTTAGCCTCTGGGATGGCCTCCCCACCTCGGCCGCGCCACCTCCTGGCCACCATTTCTGAGGAGTGGACACGCTCCTTATCTCGGGCTCTGGGTCCTGGACCTTGGGATGGGGCAGTAACTGCCTGTGGGCAGCGGGACATGTCCTGCACTTCCCTGTGGGTCAGCGCCCACAGCGCCCCTCCCCGCTCCTGCTCTCTTAACCCCAGGGGGCAGAGAGGGCACCCATTTTACGGAGGAGGAGACTGAGGCCTCCGGATCCGGGGCCCTGGGTAGCCCCGGGAAGGCAAGGGGGAGGGCTCCGGTCACGCTGAGCGCTGTGAGCCCCACAGGCACAAGAGCAAGAAGAAGGCCTTCACCAAGGCCTGCCGGCGGTGGCGGGACACCCAGGGCAAGGAGCAGCTGCAGAAGGACTTCGCGGCCATGAAGAAGTACTGCAAGGTCATTCGCGTCATTGTCCACACCCAGGTCAGCACCACCCTCCCGCTCCCCAGCGCTGTCCAGGAGGCAAATGTCAGCCTAAAAATACACAGGCCTCAGGCACAGGCCCAGAGGGCTGGGCAGTGGGTGCTGCCACACAGGCTCTGCAGACAGCCACTGCCGGTGGGTCTGCAGGTGTGAGCGTGACACAGCCGTGCCCCAGATTCTGGAATGATCCACACGCAGCCCAAGGCCTTGTGTTCCCCACCACTGCGGAGATCCCTGAGGCCTGGACGAAGCCAGGGCCTGCACCAGCCTGGGTCTAGGGTGGTGGCCAGACCCTGCCCCACTCCACCCCGCCCCCTCCTGCCAGGGTCTGGACGCCCGGTCGCCTTTCAGTGCCACCAGCTTCAGGGTCTTTGACTGCTGTGCTGGACCCTGGTGCAGTTTCCCCCCCCCCCAGCCCCTGCAGCACCCAGACCCCCGGGCGCCTTTGGGAGGGCACTGCTCACTGTGCGCAGGGGTCCCTAACCCGGGCGGGTTCCCACAGATGAAACTGCTGCCCTTCCGGCAGAAGAAGGCTCACATCATGGAGATCCAGCTCAACGGTGGCACTGTGGCCGAGAAGGTGGCCTGGGCGCAGGCGCGCCTGGAGAAGCAGGTGTCGGTGCATAGTGTGTTCAGCCAGAGCGAGATGGTCGACGTCATCGCCGTCACCAAGGGCAAGGGTGTCAAAGGTAGGGGGCAGGCGGCCGCAGGGGCCTCTGGCCTGGCCTGCCATTCAGCCCTGGCTCCTCCTGCCACCAGGGGTCACCAGCCGCTGGCACACCAAGAAGCTGCCCCGCAAGACCCACAAGGGGCTGCGCAAGGTGGCGTGTATCGGTGCCTGGCACCCCGCCCGCGTCGGCTGCTCCATCGCCCGGGCGGGCCAGAAGGGCTACCATCACCGCACGGAGCTCAACAAGAAGGTGCGCCCCAAACCCTCGCCCAGCGGGCGTGAGGGGCCTCCTGCCACTGTCCCCAAGACCCTGTTCCTTCACAGATCTACCGCATCGGTCGGGGGTTGCATATGGAGGATGGGAAGATGGTCAGGAACAATGCGGCCACCAGCTACGATGTGACTGACAAATCCATTACGCCGCTGGTGAGGCCGGCAGCGCCACCTGCCAGGGGGGTCTCCAGAGCTCAGTTCCCCCCCACGTCATTGAGCAGCCTGTAGGAAGGCCCTGGGCATGGAGGAGGGCAGGGGGCGGGCGACGCCACCTCCCCTGCTTGAGCCGCATCACCTGCAGGGTGGCTTCCCCCACTATGGGGAAGTGAACAACGACTTCGTCATGCTCAAGGGCTGCATTGCGGGGACCAGGAAGAGGGTCATCACGTTGAGGAAGGTCAGTGCCTGGGCCTGGGGGAAGGAGGGGGGGAAAGAGCGCTTCCAACCGCCCCTCTCCTGTGGCTCCGCAGTCCCTCCTGGTCCACCACAGCCGCCGGGCGCTGGAGAACATCGAGCTCAAGTTCATCGACACCACCTCCAAGTTTGGATACGGCCGCTTCCAGACAGCACAGGAGAAGAGGGCCTTCATGGTGAGCCAGGGACGCACCCACTCAGACCGGGGGTAAGCAGGCGGCCACGGTGTCCTGAGACCACCGTGTTCCCAGCCACACTCGCCTGTCCCCATCAGGGTCCCCAGAAGAAGCACCTCGAGAAGGAAAAGCGGGAGACGGCAGGAGATTTGTAGGCTGTGGCCCCGGGACTTGCAGCGCCCCCACCTGTCCCTGTTTAATAAAGGCCGGGCAACTCTGTGTGTTGTACTTTGGGTCCCACGCGCTGATGTCCAGGGGTAACTCAGGGATCAGCCAGCAAGGCCAGCGCCCTCCCCTCTGGACTATCGCTTGGACCCCTGCCTGCTGCTTGGGGCTGAGTCACGGGTGGAGGGTGTGAGGAGGAGGGCGCGGGGAGGAGGGCACGGGGAGCAAGGTGCGCAGAGGAGGGCGCCTGGAGGAGGGTGCAGGGAGGAGGCGCCAGAAGGAAGGTGTGGGGAAGAGGGTGCGGGGAGGACGGCGCCGGGAGGAGGGCGCGGGGAGGAAGGTGCGGGGAGTTCGGCGCACGGGGCCCAGCAGCGACTCTGCGGCGCCACCTGGTGCTCGGGGCGGCGTGGCAGGGGGCGGGGTCGGGCGGGCGGGAGCAGGGGCCTCAGCGCGGACCGGACCAACTCTGCGCGCCCCCCGGGCCTCTCGGGGCGGAAGCCGGAACCCGCGTCCTGCGGAGACATTGGCTCTGGGGAGGGGCGTGGCCCCGCGCTCCGCGGGCGTGGCTCGGCGTACTGGGGCACGATTGGCCCGCCGGCGGGGGCGTGGCGACAGGGCTCGGGCGCGGGGCGCAATTGGCCTCCGGAGTGGCGGGGGCGGGGCCGGCTGGACGGCTGCGGGTCGCGGGCCGCGGGCTCAGAGTCTGCGGGCGCCGCGCTCCGGGAGCGCCATGTCGTTCTGCACCTTTGCTGGGGGCGAGGTTTTCCAGAACCACTTTGAGCCGGGTACGACTCGGGGTCTCCCGGTTCCGATGTGCCGTGGGGGTGTGGAGCGGAGCGAAGGAGCGGGAGTGGGTGGAAGGGAGGAGTCGGGGGTCCCGGAGAGTAGGGGGCGCTACGGGGGCAGCGTCTCTGTGCCTGGGACCGGCTTTGGGATTGTGCGTGCAGTTTGCTTGGGGGTGGGGATCACGTGGCAAATCTGTAGGACCAGGTTCATGACCAGGGTAGTGTCCATCAGCTGTCACGTAGGAGCAGTGTTGGAAAGGGGTGCCAGGGTCGCGCCTGCGCTGAGCCTGGGACCTGCTCCAGCTGTTCCCCCTGCCCCGTCCGCCCTTCCAGGGCCGCGACATGCCATTGGCCAGCACAGACCATTCTGTTTAGAGAAGTGTGCTGGCCTGCTGTCCGTGGGCCAGATCAGCACCCGCATCTGTCCAGGTCCTGGGCTTGTGTAATTCCGAGTGAAGCCAGTGAGTCTCATCACTGAAATGTATTTTTACCTTGTTGTTTTATCATATTAGGTGACATGGTTGCAACAGGGTGTAAGTTTATTGTACTGATGTACCAAGTTTCCTTCACCATCACCGTTGCTCTATGTTCCCTCTGCTCCTGTCTTTATGGGCCCTGCCCCCTTCAGCTAGATATTGAAGTTTGACCCCAACATTGTGGGAGGGAGCCGGGTCACTGAAGTGTGACAGGACAGCAGGAGGGATTGGTGTGGGCCAGCCCTCACCCAAGACTCCAGGTGGCCCTGGAGGTCACTCCTGTGGGTTGTGCCTCCCGGTCGTGGGCTGAGACAGATCAGGATCTTCTGGGTGTCACCCTGGGGGGTTGGGCTGTGTGGCAGCCTTTCCAGAACCATGTTCAGGCCTCAGGTGTGGCCCTGGAGCCTGTCCACAGCAGCTTCTCTCCTGGTTGTGCCTCCTTTGGCTCTCAGCCAAGGCTGGGCTGGACAGTGGGTGAGAGTGAGAGTGAATCTGTAACACCTTCTCCTCCTCCCCCCCAGCTTCCTGTGTGATTCTGTAATGACCCCTCCTCCCCACATCTAGCTTCCTGTTCTGCAAGTGAGTTTTGCAACCTTTTCCTGAAGAAAAGTCATCTTGGGGCCAGACTGATAGTACAGTGGGTAGGGCACTGGCCTTGCACTTAGCCAATCCGGGTTTGATCCCCGGCATCCATATGGTCCCCGAAGCACTTCCAGAAGTAATTCCTGAATGTAGAGCCAGAAGTAACCCCTGAGCACTGCCCTGTGTGGCAAGAAAAAAGAAAAGTGACCTGTGTGTGTTGGGGGGCATACCGCTGGTACCTCACAGTGATCTTTGGGGGCAGGTTAATGCCTGCCCCTCCTGCTCTCCTCTCCCCTGTGACTATTCTCTTCCTGTCTGAAGAGCGGCCTGTGGCCGTCCACTCAAACTTGGCTGGACGGACTGAATGCCACTGGGCAGGGAGAGCTGGTGGAGGCGGTGGCTTCTGTGTCCCCTTCTCTCAGCCAGCTGCCTGCCTGGGGCTCACCCTGTGTGTCGCCGTCGCCTTGACCTATGCTGGTCTTGGGGTGGACACGCCAGCATGTCTGCTCCCGCCTCTTGCCCACCTCAGGTGTGTACGTGTGCGCCAAGTGTGGCTACGAGCTGTTCTCTAGCCGCTCCAAGTATGCCCACTCATCCCCGTGGCCAGCCTTCACCGAGACCATCCATGTCGACAGTGTGGCCAAGCGTCCTGAGCACAACCGGCCCGAGGCCTTAAAGGTGGGCGTTTCACCTGGGGCTGTTGGAGGAGGCCTGGGTGCTGGGACCCCCATTCTGCTGCTCTGGGGCGGAGAGGAACCGGGCAACCTTCACACGGAGACCTCTGCCGTGCCCATGCCTCACAGCGGGATCCCCTGTGCCCAGGTGTCCTGCGGCAAGTGTGGCAATGGCCTGGGCCACGAGTTCCTGAATGACGGCCCCAAGCGCGGCCAGTCCCGCTTCTGAATCTTCAGCAGCTCGCTCAAGTTCGTCCCGAAAGGTGAGCTGGCATGCAGGTGGGCAGCGAGCATGCCCAACTCTTGGTGCCACCCGACAGGGGCTGTCAGCCACCAGAGGGCCTGCTTGGTTCCAGTGCCGAGGCAGCATGCACTCCCAGGGGACATCTGAGTGGTCGCCCCAGAGGGTTTGTCAGGGCCTTAGTGGAACGGAGGGGCCACTCCTGGCTTCTCAGCCTCCCCGAAGGCCTCGGGCCTGCCAGGACACACACACACACACACACACACACACACACACACACACACACACACACAGTGTTCCTGCTGCGCTGCCCTGGAGTGAGAGCTGTTTCTCCAGCCTGGCCCTGAATTTTACTCGTTCAGCCCCACTCTGCAGCTCACACAGGTCGTTGCTGTGTCTCTACACATGGCCGTCAGCTTGACAGTTCAGATCTTAGCTCTTCCCTACAGGTCCGGGTTCCTCTCCTCACCCTGGCTTTGCCCTCTGTGTTCTGGGGCTGGGCGAGGCAGCAGGTGCCATGCAGAGAGGAGGCTGGTGTGTGCGGGCAGGTCTGGGCCATGTGGGCAGGTCAGGCCTGGCGGGCTGGAATGAGTCTTCTTTAGTTCTTTGTCCTCCATCTGTGGAGGAAGAGGGATTCGGCTCTCCTACAGAGGTCAGGGAAGAGAGGGGTACAGCAGGCGGGAAGCCTCATTCCCCGGGCGCTTCCTCTCCTCTCTTTCAGACCAAGATGCTTCTACCTCCCAGGGACAATAGTGGGCGAGCACTCCACGTGGCCCTTTCTGCCACCTCCAGGGATGCACCGTGGACTTCAGACAGAGAGGGAGAGGAAGAAGGTGTCTGGGCAGCTCGGAGATTCTCAGCTTGCTCTCCTGGGGATGCTCCTATCTGCTGCCTTGTGCTTCCCCATCGCACAGGCCTGGGCACTCCCCAGCCCTGGGCTGGCTTTGGCCCTGAGTGGCAATGTGCTCTCCACTTCACTTCTTTCCCCCTCCCTGTCTGTCTGGACCCCCAGAGTGGGGCCCCTTCCCAAGCCAGACCCTGGCCTTCTCCACGCTCGCACCTACCTCCCCCTGACCCTGAAAGAGAAAGCAGATGAGGCACCTGTCGGCTGCCCCAGCCCTGTCACTGCATGACCTGTTCTGGTGAAACCCTCAAGCAGCCAGAGCGGTGAAGATCTGTGACCACTGGGGATGGCCAGGGAGGGGTCCCGAGCCCTTCCTCAATCTGTGCGGATGTGGCTTGCCTCATCCTTGCACCACCACAGCCTTGCCTGCCGGATGCTGCGCCCCAGGCCTGGGGTCCCAACATTGCACGTGCTCACTGTGGTGACACTTCAGCGTCCTTCTGGCTGGGGTCCTTTCTAGAACCATCATGAAATCAGTGCATTGCACCCTGGCTGCCTTCTTTCCTAGCGACGTCAGGAGGGCCCCTCCCCCTCGGCCTGGCTCTGGGCGCTGCGTGGGTTGTGGGGCCTCCACCGCAGCGGGGACTGTGCCGCGGCCATCAGCCCCAGTTCTTACGTTCCGGCCATGACTCCATACAACCTTCCACGGGGGTGAGCATGAAGACGGTCCCTCCAACCTTAGGTGGGGGATTCGTCCTCCTGTCCCACCAATCCCCGTGACGGCCCACCACTAGCACCGGCGTGGTGTGATGGAGCGGGACCGCCGGCAGGGGGCGCGTTTCACCCCGCGCACGCAGGCGCCGGGGCGGGGATTAGCGGGCTGCAGTACAGCCTAGCGCGCCAGTCCCGGTCCGAGCCCCCTGATGTCCCGGCAGCCCCGCCCCGCAAACCGGCCCAGCTGAATCTCGGTCACGCACAGCCCCGGCGCCCGGTGCCCTCGACTCACCCGCCCACTTTGCGAGTGCCGGGCACAGCGCCTGCGGTGACTCTCTTGCGGGGCTTCAGGGAAAGTGACCCAAAGAGACCTTGGTTCTCCCGGGGCTCTTTCCCAGAGCGGCGGTGGGAGCGGCGGCGGTGGGGCAGTGTGCCCAACTCCTGCTGGGGCACTGGACACCTGCGGGGGCCGCGCAGCCCCGTACCCTCCTGGCAGTCCCCCACCCGCAGGGGCCTCAGTCCCGCTGGCCGTCCCGTCTCCACCTCCAGCTGGTCCCTCGGTGATGCTCGGGGCTGCACGCTGGTCCCGAGGGCTCACTGCCCTCCCCTGTGCACAGGCAGCTCCTTCCTGGGTTCCTGAGTGCGCTCGCCCACCTGCCACATACCGAAAGGGCAGTCCCCGCCCCAACAAGAGAACCCCAGCCTGCTTTCTACCACCCTACCCAGCGCTCATGGCCCTGGGGCAGTGCAATCGTCGGTGCATGGACTCCAGGCGCTGCACTAAGACCCCCCCAGGCGCTGCACCAAGATCCCCAGGCCCGAAGCCTTGGTGGGACCACAGGGGACACCACGGGGTGGGGTGGGCTTGCTGGGAGGCATCACGTTTCACCCCCAAGCTGCTTGGCTTCTGGGCACCGGTGGGTGCTGAGCAGTCGGCAGAGGCCCCAGCCTGGGCCTGGAGTCTCGGCGCCCGCCCTTCCCTCACGGAACTGGTTCCTCCCGCGGTGCGGGGTTCGGGTGTGCCTGCGTCGGAGGCGGTCCCCGGCCGCCCAGGGGAGCAGCTGTCACGCGACTGTCACATAGGTGGCTGAGCGCGTCCTGAGTGAGTCCCTGGCTCCCAGATGGATATTGGAGAGCCTGCCTAGTTCCAGCCCCAGGGAATCGGCCTTCCAGGAGCGGGTCCTACAGGCACAGGGTCGCTTCAGTCTGCGAGTGGGGGTCGGGACCAAGCTCCGAGCGGGGCGTGTCCGTGGGCGTGGACTGCAGGCCCCGCCCTTCCCGCCGCTGGATGCCCAGTGCCTAGCAGAAGCCGCGCGTCTGGCCCCGCGCCGAGCGGGCCGGGATGCGCGCCCGGGGCGCTCTCCTGCCACCCCCGGTCCTGGGCGCCGTGCGGCCCCATGGCAAATAGTGGCGGCCTGGACGGCGGGGCCGGGCTGGGCCAGGGCGCGGGGTCCGCGCTGAGGGCGCCCCGTGCTCCGGTGCTGCTGGCCGCCGTGGTGCTCGGCGCCTACTCCCTGTGCGCCCTCCCAGGCCGCAGCCCGCCGGCTGCCCGCGCCCCCGACCCCGCGCCGGCCCCAGCACCCGCCCAGCCGCAGCGCGCCGCCGGCACCTCCGGGGCGTCTGTTCTGCCTGTGGCCAGCGGCGCGGGTCGCCGGCGCTTCCCGCAGGCTCTGATCGTGGGCGTTAAGAAGGGCGGCACGCGCGCGCTGCTCGAGTTTCTGCGGCTGCACCCCGACGTCCGCGCGCTGGGCTCCGAGCCTCACTTCTTCGACAGGTGCTACGAGCGCGGTCTCGCCTGGTACCGGTGAGCGCCGGGGCCCTCCCGGACCCGACCCTGGGCCCTGCTGTCCGGGTTTTACTAATGGAGGAAGGCCGCTGGCCAGAGGCTCCGGGCAAAGCCTTGGTTGGGGCCTGGGGACCCAGCCGAGGGCGCGCTGGGGAGGGCGCCCTAGCATGGGGGGAGTCTCTCCTGTCGCTAGGCCTCTGCAGCTGACTCCTGTCTCCCACTCCCGTCGCGCCTCCTCCAAGTGTCCCCCGAGACGCCTACAGGGAGCAGGGGCCCCATGGTGGTGGGGCCTGCGGAAAGTGTGCACTACAGGACGGCAAAGGCAAGGGAGTCGTTGCATGAACGCCCCAGCCTGTTTCTTTAACTGCCCGTCTCTCCAGTGTCCTTAGGGTGCAGTTGGGTTGGGGGGCACAGCACCTAGGGCAGCTGCCTGCCTGTTGGCTCCCCTCCTTCCGGTGCGGCAATGGGGGCTGTGGGGCCTCCTGGGCATACTCCTTGCCTCTCTGCCGTCAACCTCAGGCCCAGGCAAGATCAGGGCGTGTGTGTGAGTGTGTGATCAGGCCCCAGCCTCCAGCCCCGTTCTGCTTGTTAGTGTTAGTTTGCATGAAAACCACACCTGGATTTAGGGGTGTCTGGTGAGCACAAGAAGAGAACCCCACTCTGATGGTACCCATGGGGGTTCTGGAAGACCTCTAACATCCCTTGCCTCAGGAGGACCCTGGGGTGGGGGCGGGCCTCATTCCGGCTCTTTCCCTAGCCCTCCCCCTCTAGTGCAGGAGTCTGCTGTGGGGGTGGGGCTGGTGTCACCATCCCCCACCCAGTTGCTGGGACCCCTGGTTCTAGGCAGGGTCCCTCGTGGGGCCTGATCTCAGGTCGGTGGCCCCAGACTCCAATCTGCTGCACTTGCAGGCCGCGGTGGCAACAGACGTGCAGTGTCTCTGCCGGGGATCCATGCTGCGGGGCCAGGCAGAGCTGCAGTTCGACCAGCTTAAGGAAAGATGGGGACCCGAAAGGATCAGCGAGGGCTCCTGGCAGGAATGCTGAGGAAGGGTCCTGCGTTTAGAGAAGCCCTTTGGCAGGGCAGGCTGGCTGGCTGTGAGCCGCAGGGAAATAGGGACCAGATGGGGAGGGAAGGGTGGCGGAGGCTGGTGAAGTTGTCAGATGTTCTCTGCAGGGTCAGAGTCCCCTTCCTCTGCTCTCCTGCAAGTCTGGGGAGCCTACCTGAGCCCCACACTTGTCTCAGCCAGTTGGAGGGCCCGCCTTCCCTGTAGGGTCCCCCAACCCCCTGCTCCCCTCCTCATTGGTGCCAGCAGGAGGTGGGGAGGGGGTGTCCAGGCCCTCAGGGCTGGCAGGAACTGGCGGGGGCTTCTGAGGGCAGGCTTGCCACCACAAGCACCCTCGTCAGCTTGGACCCTGTCTCCTGAAAAGGGTGCCCCCACTGGCCTGCCGCTGCACCCACCTGGCTCAATTACCCTGAGCACCCCAGGCTTGGGCACACTCTGGCCCCACCTGTAGGGGCTTGAGTCTGGGCCGGTAGGAGTGCGTGCCAGTCAGCTCCAGCTCAGTTCTGGGACAGATGGGGGCATTTGGGCAGCCCCCCTCCCGTTCCTGCTCCCCACAGCTTGCTGCTGGCTGTTTGCTCAGCTGCTCTGAGCCTCTTCCTCCCCACCCCCACCTGGCTGCCAGGTGTAGGGAGGGCGTCATGTCATGAAGCTCAGTCTCCCTGGCCGGAGCAGTGGAGGAGAGCTGCTGTGGGATGGGGTCTGTGCCCAAAGTGAGCGATACTCAGATTAGCCAGGGTGGCCAGTGGGCTCAGCACAGCACCCCTTCATGTCCTCCCTGGCATTGGGCAGGCCTGAATAGTGAGACCAGAGGGACTGGGAGCAAGGGGGACCACTCGGTGTGGGGAATACTTACCTGTAACAAGAAAGGGGCTGAGGGACAGTGTGTGCAGGCCCACATCCAGGCCTTGGAAGTTTGGGGCTTCCTGGGTAGGGACCCCCTCACATCCTCTGTCCCGCAGGAGCCTGATGCCACGCACCTTAGATGGGCAGATCACCATGGAGAAGACGCCCAGCTACTTCGTGACACGAGAGGTGCCGGGGCGCATCCATGGAATGTCCCCTCATACCAAGCTCATCGTGGTGGTGCGGAACCCTGTGACGCGTGCCGTGTCCGACTATGCACAGACGCTGTCCAAGACACCGGGGCTGCCCAGTTTCCGTGCACTCGCCTTCCGCCAGGGCCTGGGTCCCGTGGACTCGGCCTGGAGCGCTGTGCGGATCGGCCTGTACGCCCAGCACCTGGTGCCCTGGCTACGTTTCTTCCCGCTCTCCCACTTCCTCTTCGTCAGTGGGGAACGCCTGATCAGTGACCCGGCCGGCGAGGTGGGCCGCGTGCAGGACTTCCTGGGCCTGCGGCGTGTGGTCACTGACAAGCACTTCTACTTCAACGCCACCAAGGGCTTCCCTTGCCTCAAGAAGGCACAGGGCAGCGGCCGCCCCCACTGCCTGGGCACATCCAAGGGCCGGCCACACCCCCGCGTGCCCCCCACTGTGCTGCAGCGCCTCCGTGACTTCTACCGGCCCTTTAACCTCAGGTTCTACCAGATGACTGGCCAGGACTTTGGCTGGGACTGATGGGTGCCAGCCTGACCTGTGTGTCTGCTCCTGGCCAGAGGAGGTTATTGTGGGAGTTGTTGACAAAATAAAGTTTGGATCCATGTTCTTGTGTGTGGCCTGGGGGGCTGTCCAGGGAAAGGCACATCGTAGCCCTCGTCCCCTATCCCTTGCACCATTGGAACTGATGAGCCAAGGGCTATACTCTTGAGTCAGGCACTTGCCCTGGTCACATCATGGGGTGACTGAAGCTGGACTGTGCAATGGGCACAAAGGTCAGCCCGGGCCACTCTGAGCCCCTTCGTTGTCCCTGGCATGGTGTGCTGGTGGGCAGGGCGGGACACAGAGGCTGAGCACTGTGTGAATTCACCCTGGCCGGGTGTCCAGTGAGTGGGAGTACCTGCCCGGTGCCCATCCCATACCCCAGGCCCAGCTGTCCCAGTTCTCAGTGCTTTACGGCTGCCCTGCCCCCACAACCAGGCAGGATTCAATGCCCAGCTGCAGTCCAGCTGCTTGAATCTGGCCAGAGGAGCAGCAGGGGTGCCGTCTACCCACCCGCCCCAGGACAGCAGGCACCCCTTGGGAATGACCACAACATTATCTGCTCAGCAGTGCCCACAGCTGTCCTGACCACGACCTCCTGAGGCCCTCTCAGGACTGCCCTGGCTTTGCGTCCAGGCCTTGGTCCATCTCCCACAGGGAGGTGATGTCAGAGCCCTCACCCTGCTCTGCCTCACCCAGCCCCTCATCCCTGCTCTACTTCACTCAGCCCCCTCCCCCTGCTCTGCCCTCACTTAGCCCTCCTCACCCCTGCTCAGCATGATTCTGCATAAGGGCTTGTAGGGACCATAAGGCTGGAAGGGACAGCTCCAGAGTAAACGGGATTAATCCTTCTTTGGGAACATTCCAATTCCCGATCCTTTTTCTTCCAGAAGGACGGATTCCTGATTGCATGGAAATGCCAGCCCGACCTTTGTGCACTCTTTGCCCCAAACTCTGCTGCTCTGGGCTGTCCATACCCTCAGCTACACCTCTTCCTGCCTCCAAGCATTCGAACATGCTGTTCCCTGCTTGGTGCCTTTCCTTGCAGGTCTGAGCACAGCAGCTCTCTGAGCCCCTGATTCAGGGACTTCCTGACACAGGAAACCCCTTCTCCCTTCTGGAAGTTTCTGGGGCACAGAGATGTGCAGGCCCTGGTTTGTCTTGCTTTAGGGTCCAGACCTTGCTCTGAAAGCACTTCCTGGGCAGGAGGAGGAGGCCTGGCTGCCTGGGAAAAGCCCTTCCTGCCTGCACCAGTGCCAGGGGCCTCAGCATACACAGAGGGCAGATGTGCTGGGGCCTCCGGCTGGGAGTCATCAGCCTTTAATTAAAGTCTCAAATTGCTTCCCCAGATGCTCAGTGGGTTTTCCATGTTGGAATGTTCCAGATGGAGCAAAAGTGCTGATTTAATTACTCTCTTCCTGTTCCAGAAGGCCTAGACTGGAAGAGGGTGGGTGGGGTCCTTGGGGGTCCCAGTATCCAGGATGGGGGTTGGCAGAGCTTAGAGGGCTGCTTCTAGCCCAACCCTGTCCCTCTGGACCTGGGTATATGGCAGCACTGGGGCCTGGGGGTCCCTTCATCAGGGTGAAGCTACTCTCTGGAAGGTCTTCCCTCTGTAGGTTCCCTACCTGGAAGCCCCCCTAGTTCATTCTTGTGACAAACTGTCCAGTCCCCCTCCAAATGTGGGGGTTGGGGTGCAGAACCCTTTCTCCCTGCTCCATACCCTCCCATGCTCCAACTCCCTCCTTCCCACAGAAGCAGGGGGATATGTTAGGGGGTGCTCCAACCACAGGGAGCTGGGAAGGTGGGGGCTCTCTGCACCCCCCCAAGATGGCAAAGGAACCCTCTGGTTCCTTTCCTATACTTTCTAAAAGTTTTCTGTGAAGTAGGCTGGGCTGACTGCTGGGCACTTGTACTTTCTGGAGTTGAAGTGAGTTGGGGGTGGGGTATGGGCCAAGGGGTGAGTGGGGGTCAGAGGTCTCAGACTTGATAAAGAACATCCCTTTCATCCTCCTTCATCCAGCTCACAGCCTTCACAATCCTGTGGCTACAGGGGGCCAGTGTCCCCCCAGAGCTTCATCAGGAACCACTGCCTATAGGAACTCCTCCTGAGGCTACCCCTGCCGCAGGGACATGAGAATATTCTGGAACTTGGAGCTACCCCTGAATCTAACAGGAGTAATTCCTGAGAACAGAGCCAGGAATAAGCTCCGAGCACTGTTGAATGTGGTGGCCCCCTCAAAAATATTCTGGAACTAGAAATAGGTGGGGTTCTGGGGTTCTAGTCATGTATAAGTACACAGAAGTGTCTGCTTTAAGTGGCCTGCTTGCTTTCAATTATTTCTATGAAAAGAACATTTTGCAGGAGGTTTGGGGGCCACAACTGACAGTGTGGAGAACCAAAAAAAGATTTTTTTGTCTTTTTGAGTCACACCCAGCTATGCTCAGGGTTACTCCTGGCTCTGCACTCAAGAATTACTCCTGGTGGTGCTCGGGAGGCCATATGGGATGCCAGGGATCAAACCCTTGTCGGTTGCATGCAAGACAAATGTTTTCCCCCCGTACTATTTTCTGGCCCCTAACAAGGATCTTCTAGAATCTTTTCTTCAATTCATCCCTACAAAGCTGAACTTTCTAAGGAAGTTCTTTAAAAATCTGAAGTTAGGGATCAAAGTGATAGAGCAAATAAATCATCCGCCTTGCATGCGGCCAATCCAGCTTCAATCCCTGGCATCTCAGATGGTCCCCTGGGCATTGCCAGGAGTAAATCCTGAGCACTTGCCTAGTGTGGCCCAATCCCAAGCCCCCTCCCCCACAAGAAGATAAGGTCAACTGAAGGTCACTGAGGGTGCCCACAGCAGAGGTCCAGGAGGCTCTTCCACTCCTCTGGCCCCCCCTGCTTTCTCCCCTGCCTCTACCTGGTCTAGGGAGCTCTCTGCAGACTGGGCCCCAGCACCCTGGTCAGAAGGCCCTCCTGCCTTGGGTCTCATGATACACGGCAGGCCTACCTTAGTTTCCTCAGGTCAGGATGTATGGCAGGTCTTAGTTTCCCTTGTGCACTGGAGCACTGCTCTGGACCCCTGCTCTTGACCCAGGGTCAACCATCCAAGGAGAGTCTGTCCACGGCGAACGAGAGCTGATCTCGGGGCCTGAAAAGGACATGTCAGGGCTGGGGGTGTGCGGAGACTTGGACACTAACCTGTGTTTTTTGGGGAAAAGTGTCCAGGAACTGTGAGTCCCAATCTTGCTGTCTGGACCCTGCCTGCAGGATGTCAAGCTGTGGGACACATTCAGGCCCCCTACTCCATGGGGAATTCTGAGAATCCCGTGGACAGCAGGGCAGGTGGGCACAGAGGGCTGGTGTGAGGGGCAGGAGAGGCCCCCAGAGGTCTGTGTCCAGAGGCTCTGCCCCTCAGCCCCGTGGCTTGCAGAGAAAGGCGCTCTCGGGACGGGCATGGTGGGTAGAGTGCTGAAAAGATCTTGTGTGTCCTGTCCTCCCCCGGGAGCAGTCAGTCCGGCTTTGTTTTCTGTGCTTGGGGACTGGGACTTAGGGCTTCCTCCTGACAGTGCTGGGACTGGGGTCGCTCTGTGGTGTCTACCTGGGGAGACCCCTACTGGCTCCCCTGGAGCTCCCCTGCATGTGTGCTCAGGGCAGCACACTAGGGTGAGTGTGGGGGTGTGGGGGTTCCCTCAGCTCTCTATCCATGTCTAAGACAGGAACCACCTTCAGGCTCAGAGTCCCATCTGCAGTGACACTAGGAGATGGTGGGAAGGCTGCCACCGTGGCACTGCTGGCTGTCAAGAGGAGAAAGGGCACAATTGCCGGGAACCAATTACAGCAGGGCCAGAGGTGCCATCGACCACCGCCAATCACTATGCTGCCATCTGCCCTCTGGTTCCCCTTAGGGACCTTTGTGAAATGTCACTTTTGTGCCCCTCCTGAGCCCGAGTTCAGTTCCCAGAGCCATCAGCCAGGGAAGTGAACTGGGGAACAGAAGCCACCTGTCCCGACTGCACCAAGGCGAGCTTGGACAAGGCTGAGGAAGGAACCCAGCAGAGGCAGGGGTGAAGACAGCTCAGGGGTTCGACCCATTTTCAACCCATCATCTGCAGCCCAATTTTCCCCCAGCACCTTCAGCTCCAGCCCCGCCATCCTCAGCACCTCTGTCCCCAGCATTGCTGGACTGTGTCTAGCAGCAGTGCTATGTCACAGGGCTGTAGGTTTTGCTGGGAGTGGCCCTAGGATCCTCCTAGGCCAGCTTGGGAGCACCCCTCACCAAACCAAGAAGGATAACTTTCCTTCTTAAGTGGCCATGTAATGGTCTCTGCCCTTTCCTGCTGCCCTGCCGTGCTCTTATTAGTCACCTTTGTTTTTATTTATGTTTTGTTTTGGGGCCATACCCACTGGTGCTCGGGGCTTACTCCTGGCTCTGCATTACTCTTGGTGGGACTTGGGGGATCATATGGGATGCCAGGGACTGAACCCAACTCAGATATGTGCAAGGCAAGAACCCTACTCCCTGTACTATAGCTCTGACCCATGTTATGCACCTTTAGCCATGAGCCCTTCCTCCCAGTGACCTGTCTATTGCTGGGTGGACTGAGCATATGTCCCAAATTCTGACCATCCCCTCCCCAAGTCTTTGGTATCTGTGTCCCCTGCTGTCCTGTCTAACCTGTTCCTCTCTCTCTCCCCGCCATGGCATAACTTGAGGACAGCACTGTGAAAGATTTGGCTTCCTGGGGGGTACCTTCAAACTGGGGAGAGACCTCTGGGCAAGCAGCAGAGCGAAACGTGTGGTCTCTGGAATGTTCTACAGTGTACCTTGACTGAAGAGAGCCTGAACCTCACTGCTTGGCTTCCATGACAGGTTGGCATTTGATTCAATGCTCCTGGGAAGGGCAGCATTGCCTTCTAGAGGGTTCCAAAGCCAGGACTGTCAATGTAGTCTGTGTGACCAGGATTCTGAGGTCCCTTGGGA